AATCGTGCTCTTTGCTCAGTGAGCATGATCGGGACTTCCTTTTCCTTTTGATACCTGGGAACGCCAGGGTATATAGTGTTACACGTGATCTGCTGACAGATAGATCTATTGGCTCTTGGTGGCCCATCTGTGTACCCGGTGGGGCACCACTGATTGGTGACGGGTAGGTCCGTAACACAGACCAATACTGCGGTATAGATCTACTGATGCAAATACAATGATAGTATGTATGCAGGTAAAACAGTATTCAATTGGATGGACGGGGAGAGAGAGAAGGTGAGAGTGGAAGGAAGACTATCTAGTTGGTCTATCCTACATGTGATGCCTGAGGCATCCAACAACTGTTGATGAATGGAACATTCGGGCAACTTTGGTTTCTAAATTCGCCAGCGTGAAGGTAATTCTATCTACAAATAAATCGGGACTTAGTTCTAACGTCTATTTAGGCGATGCGCAACGCTATCGAGGCAGCACTTGTCGTCAACCCCATCTTACTCTCTTTTCTTGTGGTCAACAATGACAATCTTGTGTCTGATCTATCTCTATTTGTATCCATTCAGCAGACACGGGAAGTCCTTGATCGGTGTATTCAGGATTATGGAGTAGTCGACACACTCGATGACGTGCGCTCTGTGGCCATGAACTATCCATACCCTGACCACACCAAACTGCCGGGCCCTCTTTTTCGCACTCTCCTGTTGTTCGTCCGCCAAACCAGCTCGACTGCAGCAATCATCAACAGTGAGTTAATGAAATTCTGCTCAAGATACAGACTAACGCCAAGCCTAGTTGGCCATAGTGTCATCGACAAAACCTCTCACCAGCATTTTCTGCACGACGTAAATCGCGCTCTTCGGGGTGAATCTCTCACCCCCCACGTCAGCTATAAAAAGTGGGCAGACGAATATCATTTACTGAGAAGGTCTCCTTTCGCTGAATGTGCCATCGAGTTCCACTCCAAGTACCTATGCGATCTGAAAGAGCACTGTCACGTCCTGTGGCCATTTCCAACATATAGGCTGGCAATAACACCAGAGAGGAATCACCTAGATGGTCATTATATGTCCTTCTCAGCGACTGGTCTGCTGAAACTTTGCCGTGTTCATCCTTTGTTGACACCATCCGTGGTCATAAAGTCTGCCCTGGCTCTGTTAGTAATCTCTAGGACTAACCATACCCACGCCCTGTTCGGCAGTTTTGAAGCTTCGCGGTCCGATTTCCCCTTTTCATCCGACCAAAATGCCACGAATGATACGATGGACATTGCTGGTCCGGTCTTCAATGTATTGGTGAATCTTGTCGCTTTCCGGCCCAAAGAATCCGTCCTCAACTACCTCCTGGCCATGCAGCAAGAGCAGAGTCTATTCAACAAACACGCAACTGTTCCTTGGAGAGAAGTTTTCTCTCGAATTCGGTGCACAGATAAGACTTTTGCCCAAATTGCCGATGCACTTCTGTACAACTGGATGCCAGGTCTCAGCGCCCTGGTAGCAGGACCAGTTCCTTATGGAAGCATGGAAGTCAGCCAAATTCAAATTAGGGCGAAGTTCGGAATGCTGGTAAACGCGGGTATAAGTCAGAACGGGACTGAAGTGATATTACAGTTCGAGGGATCCTTGGCTAATCGTTCAACAATGTGGATTGAGCGGGTTGGAGAGGAATTGAAGAACATCTGTCTTTGGCTCGTGAAAGAGGAGTCTTGGTCACTGCCGCTAGAGAATTTTACGCAGTCAATCTTCTAGACTAGTGCTTTTTGTGAAATCAAAGCTCTTATTATGTTTCCCCTCAACTTGGTCCTCGGCGATAATTCGACCCTAAACTTCATAATGCCCAGCTTTATTCTAATATTCATCATCTCGTTGAGCCCGTTTCGGTAAGACCAGGTGATGATCTTGAGGCAAGGGCTAGGCGGCTAGGCCTCTACGTGGTGTGGTCTGGGTTGTTCGCCAACTTAGGCCTACATAACCCACTTTAACCCGGACCCAACCCAGCTCAATCATACCGAGCCTAAAATGGGGGTTGTGTCCAATTCTATCATCTTATAAACTAGCTAAACAGACTTCTAACAAATAAAGATAAACTTGGTGAATTTTTGCTTTTAGAGCTAGTCTGAATAGATTTAAGAAAACTTAGATAATTCAATTAGGATGAATTGTCATAGATAAACTATGTGCTCTACTATATATGTTGGTATGTTGGTCCTGGGCATATCAGAGCCCTCGCCTTGATTTTAATGCTCTTTTGGCCGAGCGGAAGAAAGTGCGCCCAGGCATGACCTTTGCAAAGCTGAATTAATAAAAGCCCTCGTTATCACCTATCCTATAACCCTGTATGGCGGCGTCGCCACTAAGCCGTTCATAAGCTATCAAACCTAGCTATAGGCCGTTCCTTAGGCCTTATTCAAAGCGAACTGGATTTGCTTCCGCTGCAAATCATTACCGGTGGTCGCTTACGGGTGGCTGGTATAACTAAGATACGAGGCTTACATGATAAAACTTCCCACTGAATATTATTACCCACTATTAATCCATCATTAGTCCATATTATATTATCTGCTAGAGTGCTAATACATACGATAAGCTAAGTAGTTAAAGGGGATCTTAAGAGTAGCCTTTTCGACATAGAAAGGTTGTAAAGAAGCTAATCCTAGCGAAGCTGAACCTAGTTGTTTAAATAGCTAAGCGCTTGCTTTGTTTTAGAAGTAAACACTCAATTCACCACTGGCTCCAAATAGTAAGCGCTTGGTGTCAAGTTATTCAAGCCCTTCGTTAGTTCAACACCAACCTACAACTTGACTAGCAAACACATGACTCACCGGAACGGGAGAGGGGGTATTTCCGGCTGATAGAGAGTGAGGAAGAAAGTAAGATCATTCTTATCAGGCTAATATCGTGATAACGACATTTGAAATGAAGTTTTTATCCAAAAAAAAAGGAAAAAAAAACACACGAAGATTGGAGGAGTGAAAAAAAATCTATTATTGACACTAACGTTCCATTTTGGTAATTTTGAGTCTCCTCTGTTCCGGAGTTGAGGGAAACTCGAAAATCCAAAAAAAACTACATCAGCCGAGCCATGTTGACAAGTCTCCCCGAGCTGATAGCCTCTAGGCCGTGCACGCAGTGCACACAAGTGGAATCGTCCGGGTAAGTGGGATCGAAGGTGCGTCATTATAGGTTCTTGGCCCGAGTTGTTCAAGAGCTTGATCCCTGTGACAGTTGAAGGGCATATTTTCCGCTTTGTGTATGCGTGAACTTGTCATCTGCAAAGCGTCTCACATAGAAAGTAGGTGCAGGGCTAAAAACATAGATATCCCAGTGGCACGCACCGAGGATAGATTACCAATTGTACTGTCACATATGTACCTCGACGTATGAAGTACTCCGTACCTAGATTCAAATTCAAACGTTACCTTGTTAAATAGGGACATACTCCCGAGGCCTGGTCAATGGCAAATCACACACTGCGCACACGCCAAATCCAGCAATTCCGAGGACTGGGGATTTAGCTGTAAAATGTTACATGTGGTCATACCTAGGACAAGAAGAACCTTTGCAGAGCGGGATCATCAAAATGGATGCCTAAAGAAGGCCCAAGATAATCACGCAGATCCAAAAAAAGATGGAGAGTACGACGTCTATAGCCCTGGGAAGTACAAAGTAGACGACCACTTTGTTCCGGGCTGAGTAAGCACCGCTTTTTCCCCCAAGAGCTCCGTCATCTCTCTCCAGGCCTCTTTTTCAACTCCCTTTCTTGGGTGCTACAGCTTATTGTTACAAGGTGAGTCTTTTATTTGCAAGTGAACTTGATTTGAATGTCCGTGTGTGACCCCGTGTGGCGTTTAATTTCCCCCAATGGTCGTGTGCCCTAAACTCGCTCACCATCACCCCCCCCCCCCCAAGAAAAATTTCTCACATCCAAAACCCTCGACTCTTTCCTCTCATTCCTCCTTTTTTTACTCTCTCATAGTTATCATAGCACCTGGAATACCCCGGGCTTGCTAACCACTTTTCTACTCAAAGATATCTTCGGTCTTTTAGGTACACTTAGACCCTGCCTTTGGAACCCCCAAAGGCGATTCGGTCACCACGGCTCCAGTAGTCTTCCTTCTGGTTCTTAGCCAAATTGTCTCCACTCAACGTCTCCGCGACACTCTTAACAACATTCCACCTCCTGGTCTTCTCTGAACTCTCGTCCGGTGCGCCAATTTTCGTCCCATTGACGACCCCGGAGATTATCCCCCCGTTCTCTGAGCTGCCGCATAGGACTTCTTTCAAGGTTCTTCCTCTTCAGGGGGAAGGGTCTAGGAGGCTTGGTCCAGTCAACTACGGTTGTGACACTTTTCGTCCTCCCTAACGCGCAGTCGCCTGCTGGTTTACAAACTTTTTAATCATCTTTCTATCTTTTATTCAAATTGTGCTGAGTCGCAGCGGCATGGTTATGGCACCGACTGCGTGTGTATCGACTGCTGAAGTATGCACCTTCAGAAAAGACTACAACAATAGTCTGGACCATCTTGGTCTGGTCAGCAGTCATAGCGGGGACAACAACCGGTTGCAACCATCGTTGACTGCCAAGGAACTTGTTTTAGATGTGCTGAAGAAGCGTGCGGCGGAGGTAGATGTGGACAAGTGTGATCCTGGTGAGGAGGATGCTTTCTATGTGGCAGATATGGGTGAAGTCTACCGCCAGCACATGCGCTGGAAGATGAACTTGGGCCGTGTCAAGCCCTTCTATGGTAGGCCTCTCTCTGCCACTGGAACGTCAACCCCGGAGCCCTGCTAACGGACACCGGACAGCTGTCAAGTGTAATCCGGACCCGGAAGTCCTCCGTCTTATGGCTCAGCTTGGAAACGGTTTCGACTGTGCCTCCAAGTCTGAGATCGAAATGGCCCTTCAGACGGGCATTGATCCTAGCCGCATTATCTATGCGCAGCCTTGCAAGACCAAGTCCTACTTGCGCTATGCAGCCGAGGTTGGCGTCAAGCAGATGACTTTCGACAATGCCGACGAGCTGTACAAGATCAAGTCCACCTTCCCTGAGGCGGAACTCTACCTTCGCATCCTAACCGACGACTCAACCAGCCTGTGTCGGCTGAGCATGAAGTTTGGTGCTTCTATGGACCAGATTCGTCCGCTGCTTGAACTGGCTTATAAATTGGACCTCAAGGTCGTCGGTGTCAGTTTCCACGTCGGATCTGGTGCCGAGGATCCCCGGGGTTTCCTCAAGGCCGTGCAGGATGCGCGCCTTGTCTTTGATCATGCGGGAGACATTGGTCACGAACTTCACACCTTGGATGTTGGTGGCGGCTTCTGCCAGGACACTTTTGAGAAGTTCGCGGGAATTCTGAGCGAAGCCGTGGACACCTACTTCCCGCCGAATATTCGTGTGATCGCCGAGCCCGGTCGCTACTACGTAGCCACTGCCTACACTCTGGCCGCCAACGTCATTGCGCGACGTGACATTCCGGATCCCGACGATCCTTCTCGTGATGCTTTCATGCTGTATCTGAATGACGGTGTCTATGGCAACTTTTCGAACATCATCTTCGATCACCAGCATCCCGTCGCTCAGATTCTCACTTGCGCCTCGGACGGCTCCCAGCCTGGTTCCCCGAACTCTGCGACTTCGGAGGACCCTGTTTACTCTATCTGGGGCCCTACCTGCGATGGCATCGATGTTATAAGTGAGCGTATTTCCTTGCCTGGCTTGCTGAACACTGGCGACTGGCTCTACTTTGAGGAGATGGGAGCCTACACCAAGTGCAGCGCTACCCGTTTCAATGGCTTCTCTGACAACCACGAGGTGATCTACATCTCGAGTGAGCCCGGTGCCTCTGCTTTGCTCAACTACTAGTCTGGAATTTGTTTTGCTCCACATTAGTATTCAACAGTGTCTTTTTGTTTGGAATCACTTGTTATTTGGCCACCTCAATCCTTTGGGATAGCCGTCTTATATAGTATCTATTGTGCGTCCTCGCTACATTTACGATTGTGATATCGCCCACTGTGTTCTATATTCGAATAGAGATAGTCCTGTTTGCATTCACGGCCTTTGACTAGACATTTTTGGGCATCTTGACGCTTTGCCCTATGATTTGAATGCCGTTGAGCACAAAAGTTGCAACGTGTTGAAGTTTAGTTACAGCCTTATCTTTCTCTATCATCACATCTACAAGGTATCATCAGAAATAAACGTCATCACGGCATCTAGAAGAGCCAGGCCCACCAAAGATCTAGACCAAGCGCTCCACACTCAACTCCACACTCTCCCCCTCGCCCGCCTGGACAAGCCCACCAGCTTCAAGCTTCTTCTTCCACTTAGCCGACTCGTATCTAGCCAGAATCAATGTAATCCGGGCAATGACAGCTGGGTCTGCAGATTCTGCAACCACAGCAGAAGGAGTGCACGTCCAGCGTCCAAACGCCCAGTTGAGAATATAATGCTGCACCCCAGACGTCTCAAGCGTCTGTCTCGCATTCAGATTATCCGACGTCTCAACCGGAAGATTCTGGCTCGAGCAGCGAACAATGCCCTTGATGCGATACACCTCCTCGCGAGGCGCCAACGAGAGAAACCGCTCGAGAGCGGTCACATCCGTCGTCCTCCCCTCAACAGTCGACTTCAAAACAACAGAAAGAACCTCCACCTCAGACTGATGGTCATGCTGGTGCTGATGCTCATTTCCATCACCCCCCGCAGCCCCATCCTCACACTCTTTAAACAAGGCCCCATCAATCCCCAGCATCAGATCCATTTCAACCCGACCCTTCTTCGACTTCACCCAAGGCGTATCGACCTCCAAGTCCCCCACCCGATCCAGGCAAAGATCAAACCGCTCCGGAAAATCCTCCCACTTGTTGAAAACAATCAAATCGGTATACTTCGCCTGGATCTTTGCCGTGTACGAAGTATCCTCATACCCCTCCCAGTTCTCGACATCGATCACGCTGATCACGCCATCGAGGACGTAGTGTCCGCCCTCTTCGCGCGCAAGCCGGTTCACCTCCATCGCGAGGGTTGCGGGGAACGCGCTGCCGCTGGTCTCGATCACGATGCGGTCGGGTTGCACTTCGGTGCGGAGCTGGTCTAGAGCATCGCGGAGTTGGCCAACCAAGTTGCAGCAGATACAGCCGTTGAGCATCTCGCGCACGCCGCTGATGGATTGTGTTGAGGCTAGTTGGGAGTCCACGGCTACATCGCCGAATTCGTTTTTGAGAAGGGCGAGCTTGTAGGCCTTTGGAAGTTGCGGGATTAGGTTGAGGAGGATTGTGGTTTTGCCCGAGCCCAGGAACCCCGTCACGATAGTTATGGGGATTGGCGCCATTTTTGTGGTGCTTGGCGACTTGCCTTGGTGTCTGGGAATGTTGCGTTCTGATGTTGGCGGCATCAGGCTATCGCCGATGGGCTGACTAGCCCTAGCTTAGATGCCCTAATTACCCATTTGGGTTGTTGGTGAATTTCCCTTTTTTTTTTTTTTTGACTTTGACAGGAATTTGCTTCTCCAAGAGAAAGGCAACGTCAATTTCTTGGTCTCTGATTTATTCATGTCGCTAACTGAGACGGGGATGGGAAGCAAGTACGATACTTGCGAGAAGCGGAGACCTGTAAATGGCAACGAGCGATGAACAAACCACCCAAGATGAATCAGACTTGGAGCTACTGCCTCAATGCGTGTGCTATCTTTCAAAAATTGAATTCTCTTTCGATGAGATCAAGTCACGATCAAGGCGTCATTTCACTGGGAACAATCACGGCGACTGTAGGCAGATGCCTATTCCCTCATCCCAAGCCGTCGTATATACAAGTCCATACGAAAGAAGGCTTACATGCGATGTTATTCATGTACCCAGGTACCTAACTAGGCCTACAATGTGTGACCGGATGAATAATCTTGGATGATGATTTCGGCGGTCATACCATCCATTCATCTGAGTCAAGAGACAGGCTGACGATGCGCGCACTGATTGGGCAACACTCAGGCGACCGTTAGTGACACACACCGACAAGGTAAATGGGCACATCCTGTGGTCCTTGATCGAATCTCACTCCTATATACTCCGTAGATGGAGTATTGATTCATCGAAAGCAGAAATATACCCCCCCCAAAATGCACGGTGGTTACGAGAGTTGAGATTGAGTAATTGAGAAAGTCATAAGAGACTTGATATGTTTTGTACACATCACAAGGTATGCAGGCCAGAACGGCCTACCAATCTTCGGATTTGGATGACCTTGATCCCCATGAAAGGGGATTTGCCCAAATCCTACCCCCCACCAAGCACGCATGAAGCATCAATGTATCAATGTCTCGAGACGGACCGATTCTTCGACCCCGTCGTTCCTTTGGTCCGTCTATCACTCGCCCTATTCCATGATCGATCTTCAGACTCAGACCGCTCGCGGCGGGAGTGACGTGCCGGTGCACCGCGGCTGGTAACTACCGAGTGGTCGGTGTACTTCAAAGACTGCTGATCGTGTTCTTGGTTCGATTCAGCATTGTTCGACCGATTCATACTTCTGGACTTGGAGCGCATTTGGTAGAAGGGGATTCAAGAAATGGAGAGTGCAAGTTGATAATTGTCAAGTTGATCGATGATGGGGTACCGTAGAGGTGTTGGTCCTCTCTTATACAGGGTGGCGGCGGTGGCACACCTGACCCAACCTTGGATATTTTACTTCACTGTGAACGCATCTTGATGCAATGCATAGAGGGGCGACCGGAGGAATTCGATTTTTGGCCGGTTGACATTGGGAAGTGGAAAGTTGACAATCAACAGATTTGATGTATGTACATACGCGATCAGTAGCCCGACCAGGAACCAAACATGAAAAGAATGGACGTGGTCGTGCCGATCGAAGTCCATGTTCAAATTTTAGTTGATCTCTTAATTTCGCATTCTTTGAAGATCTCGAAGATCTCGCCTTTAGTTGGAGGTTGAGAATGAGACGATGTGAATCACAGGCAAAAAAGAGCCGACCTTTCATTTTTCTTTCCCCTGGACCTCGGCCCAGTAGAGAACAACGAGATTTCCTACCCCCACGATCTGGATTGTCTGATGTGTCTTTCAATCTGTCCATTCGGGTTATAGTCCCAGTCTCTTGGGACCCTCACGCGTATAGGCTTAGCTGCATACCTGAAATTCTGCAGAGGTTCGACCATGTCGGGTCCTAAAATTACCTGTTACTTCGACATTGTCAGTCCCTTCGCATACATTGCTTTCCATGTGCTGCAGGTATGGAGGTATCTGCATCGCTGTTCCATCTATCTAATAACGTTGTAGAATTCACCAGCCTTTGCGAAATGTGAAATCACCTATGTCCCGATTCTGCTCGGAGGTTTGATGAATGCATGTGGTAACAGCCCTCCGATCCCACATCAAGAGTGAGTGAATGTCCTGATCATGACTGGGAACGGTTCAACAACGGGAGCTTGCAAGTCCATGGGGCATTCAGATAAGAAAGATTACTTGGGCCAGCAGCGAAGGCGATGGGCGAAATGTTTCTCGGTTCCCATTTTGGAAGGATTCCCTCAAGGCTTCCCCTTCCGCACACTACCCGTGCAACGTGCGCTATGCGCAATCTCCCAGAAGGCACCCAAAAAGCTTCCCCCGGTGATCAGGGCGATCTTCCACGCGGTGTGGGTTGAAGGCAACACAGCTATTGGCGAACCCGATGGCTTCACCCCCGTGATCGAGAGCGTGCTTGGGAAGCAAGAGACGCAAGAGATTACGTCTGCTGTAAGCTTATGACCACCCCCAATATTCCAACACGTCCCGTCGATTGGCGACTGCAAGGACCAAGATCACTAAGAGTTCAGATGAATGATCAACAGATCAAGGCGCTTCTGACCGCGAACACCAATCGCTCTTTTGACTCGGGTGCTTTCGGGCTGCCGTGGTTCGAGTGCACGAACCTCAACGGTGAGACTGAGGGCTTCTGGGGTGTCGATCATTTGGGCCAAGTGGCCGATTACTTGGGTTTGGATCGTGCGCTGGCCAGAGGATTTAGGGCTGCTCTCTAGGCTCTGGGTAGTATAAATTTTGGTCGAGTCTCGAGCAAAATACAGCCGGTTGTGAAATTTTGCCACTGAAAAACAGTTTGAGTCTCTGCGATTTCGTATTCTACATGTTAAGTCCTGAGCGAGGATCCTGTCCCCTAGAGAAAAGATACGATAGGAGACATCTAGAATATCCAACAAATTGCAAAAGACCCCAAGGGTGCTCGACCTCCAGTCAATGGAGACCAGGCCCAAAAACGCCCAGAAGGTGCCGTCATTTGTCTACTTCGATGGCCGCGGGTGCCTATTACTCATGTGTTTCTCTCGCAGGAAGTCGCAAATCTGTTCGTTGCTCAAATTATCAATGCATTCGCTTTCCTCCTGGGAACGATCTAACCAAAAGCCCCATGACACCCTCGTCAACAATCAAGTCACATCTATGTTGCCGGGGAACCCATGGAAGCAAGAACCTACCTTCAGATACCGTCTCCTTGCTTTCAGTGGCTCCACCTGCAATGGTGCACATCTGATCCTGAACGGTCCGCATTGCTCCCTGCGCAGCAGGTACAGCCCCCTCCAGTAGAGTCTCCTTTGCGGCGACTACCTGCTCTTGGGCGGCTGAGCTAACGTTATTCCCAAACTCCGAAATTGAACCACCAGGAGCCATCACGTTAAACCGATGTTTAATGCCTGCGAGAACACCTTTCTGGCCCTCGTCTTGATGGGTAGCCTCATTCAGCTCCACCTCGCTCTCGGACTGCATCCGCTGTGCGAGCGCAACATTGGAATCCAAGTACAATGAGTCGTTGGAGGCGTCTGAGCTCATTGTGATGCGTTTTGCTTGCTTGGAATGTGAGTATCTTTCAGATTCTGGGAACGACATGGACGCGGGTGAATAATGGGTTGGAATTATAAGCAGTAGGGACAACCGGAAGGCGTAGGGCTGAGCCTGACGTAGGGCTGGCTTCGGGCGATCTGTTTGGATCGAGGAGTGGGACGATCTGGCACTAGACAGTAAGAATAACAAAAACGATTGGTAAGAGTTGGGAGCAGGAAATTACTTTTGGGGCTATGGACCTTGATTCACTGGACTTTTCCACGTCGGTCAAGATGTTGGGTTGACCAATCCTAGCAATGACGTCACTGGGTTCCACTGCTGAGTGATTGCCCAAGTCGGAGCTGGACTTCTGGCAAGAGAGTGGGCTTGTTGCATTTTGAACTTGTCTTCGAAACGAAGTTACCTTGACAGGAATGTCTTGCTACGAAGAGGGCTAACTTGATGGATCGGCCGAGGCTCCACTTTGTTCAAGGCATCATGTTTGCTCTTGTTCATAACTTGAGTCAATCGTTCATGTGGATTGAGATACTCGAAAGTTCGATTGAATATTAGACTTCGCATCTTGTACATGCGATCATCTTCAAGATCTGGACTAGTTGTATATAGCGGCCTGAAGGCCAGGAATGATCTCGAGATCCTTCGGCCTATAGGTATACTTGCCCTCGGTGGAAACCTTGACATCCCGATTTCTTCGCTGCTGCTGTGTTTGGCGAAGCTGAACCCACTGCTCGGTTGTGAGGTGCTGCCCAAGTTCAGTGAACGCGTTGGTAGTCAACCCAAGTCTCTGGAGAAGAGGGCTGTTCTGAATAGGGTCCAGGACCACGTGGTTGTTGGGGCTATATTCCATTAGACTAGGAAGACCTCCTATGCAGCGTACCTTGAAAAGAAATGTAAAAAAAAACATACCGAGCAAAGTAGAGCACACCCAGACGGTCAATATGGGCCTGGTCAGCAGGTGGTGCATGTACCCGATGGATGCTCGACTTGATCAAACCACCAGTGAGCGCCGTCAAGGCATCACATGTGTTGATAGTGATAGTTCCATCCTGGGGCTTAACCCACTTCCATTGACCCTCTGAATTGAGGATTTGCAGTGCGGCTACCGGTTGCCGGAACAAAAGAGTGACGGTTCCCAAATCTGTGTGGCCGGGGGTGTAGAGCTCGCCAACCTTCTTGTTTTCCTCGGCGCTACGGGCTGCATAGTGCATGTAGCGCAGATGGTCCTCGCCCTTGACATCGTATTGATGGTCACGGACAAGTTGGTCTTCGTCGGGTAACTCAAGCAGGATTGCGAAAAGACGGAGAAGCTTCTCAACGACTTCGGTGTGACATTTCTGTAGATTTGGTGAGTGGAAGCAATCGATCATTTTTGGTAAAGGAGAAACTACCCGACTAAACGTTTCAATTTCTTGAAGATTGTCGGCAAGGACAGAAGGCTGGGGCCGAACGTGGTGACCGTCAAACTTTGGGAGATTGTACACCTGGATATTATCCTTAATACCATTTCCTAGACTGAGTTAGGATGGGTTAGTCTTAATCGAAGTTGTCCCCGAAAGCGAATTCAGTCTTACATGCGATGTCCGGCAGGACGGTAAGAGTTGTATTCACCCCTTTCGAGGTCACTGGCGCTGTGGAACTTGAGTTTCTCTTCCAGTGGTAGGGCATAGAACTCCCGTCCCAGAGCGAACTGGTTGTCAATTTCTTCTTGGCTGATGTTGAAATTTTTCACATAGAAGAATCCTGTCTCCAAATTCCGATTAGCACTAAGCCCAAATCTCAGTCCCAATCAAAGTCCAGTTTGGAGGCGTTAAGGAGATGGAGGTGATGTAGATATATCCTGGACTTGGCGTGAAGCGCAAGAGGGCATCGACTCACCAACATTCCTGACAGCGTGATCAAGTTGTTTCACAAGATCTTCTTTTCCTCCTGGTTGTTCATACAGGCTGAGATCCAGTGTAATAAGTTCGGCCCAGTCAACTAACCCCCCGGAACGCCGTTAGCAAGAGGAAAGCACGAAGAGATCAAGCATCACCTACGGTCTTCCTTGGTCACCGGGACCTGGTCGTATTTTTCGACGTATTTTCCTGGCATCTTGAACAGTATCTATCTCCTAAAGGGGATCACTGGATAGATGCAGCGACTTCAAGTTGTTTCTTACCACAACAACTCCTTAGGAGGGACACGCCATATATAGGTCCATTCGCACTCAAGTCCGATCATTTACCCCGCATCAGACTGACGGAGGGATTTGTCAAGAGCACGCAATAAATTCGTCCGATGAGGCCTGAGATAACGGGTGATTTTTAGCTTTGGTGTGGTAGACGCGCACGCCATCAGGAGCAAGCATGTCGCCTCCGCTGGCGCATCAAAGTAAATATGAACTAGCTTAGCTTCAGTGTCAGAACATTTCGGCCTCCTGAATGGTCGATTTTGATGATCTAGATGTGCTGAAGCAGCGATGGTGACAGCGAGTGGGAGAATTGGTGAATATCTCTTTGGCTAGCGGGGGTTCATATGCCGAGATACTACGGCAAGACATGATCCTATAAGAAGTAATGCCAATGGTCGATATTCGAAATGATTTGTGGCTACCACATTTGGGAGCAGCATCGGACATCTACTGGGGTCTTTCTCATGTCTGAGCTAAAGCGTAAAGGCGGGAGATTGTCTCTGTTGGGACTATTCAAAGAAATCTTCAACTGGTATCCAACTTCTTATCCTGCAGAGGAGAGAAAGTAAGTACGTCAACATCTAGAAAGATATCTGGAGATATGATGTTAATATTCCTAGATTACTATTCAAACTGGACTTATCAATTCTGATCTTCGCCTGTCTTTGCTGTAAGTAAACAAGTCTAACTGAGCATCTGCGAGATTCAACTAACGAATTAGTCTTTGTCAAATATCTGGGTAAGCCTAATTCCAGGTGAACTGCCCTTGGAATTGATACCAACATGTCGCAGATCAGACCAACATCAGTAATGCATATGTTAGTGGGCTGAAGGAAGACTTCGGCCTGCACGGCAATGAGCTCAACTACTTCAATGTCTGCTACTTCACATCATACGTCCTGTTTCAAATCCCTGGACTACTGCTCATGTCACGCCCAAAGTTGTAAGTTTCATTGAAGGGAAGGTCGCCCCTATCTTAACAAGCCACTGAGTTCTTAAATAGGGCTCGCTGGTTGTTACCCTCCCTCGAAGTCCTTTGGGGGATCTGCACATTTGCTCAGAGTCGTGTCACAAATGTACACCAACTATACGCCCTTCGTTTCTTGGTGGGAATGCTAGAAGCACCCGTCTTCGCTGGCACCCATTTTATTCTTGGTTGGTTCAAAAAGCACACATGCTTGTCCGGATTCGGGCTGACCCTCTTGAAGGTTCATGGTACACAGGTCCCGAACTATTCAAACGAGCCGGAACATGGTTCATCTGCAACCCGCTCGGTACGATGGTTAGTGGATACCTTCAGGCAGCTGCTTATACCAACCTTTCTGGTGTCGGTGGTATGCCAGGGTGGAGGTGGCTGTTCATTATCGATGGAATCTTTACCATCCCCGTGGCCTTGATCGGCTTCTTTATTTTCCCCGGTATTCCTGGATCACCCAGACCATTCTACATGACAGATCGTGACGTTGTGTTGGCCAAGGAGAGAACTGTCAGGGCAAAGATTCGCCAGCCTGGCAAGATGAGTCTTGACGTCTTCAAGAGGACTTTGAAGAGATGGCACATCTGGGTCTTTATCTCTTGCTACGCGTAAGTTTGCAAGGGGCGAATTATTGGTGTAGTCAACATACTAACGTCGGCTTCAGATGCATGATCATATGTTCATATCCTAGCAGTTATATGAGCTTGTGGCTTAAAAAAGAGGGATATTCCGTGACTCAAATCAACCAGCTGCCGACTGTCACTTATGCGGTTAATATCGTGGCCTCCTGGCTAGGAACGACTTTGGCGGCAATTTATCCCGAATGGATCATATATACCATTGCGTCAGCATGCTGCCTATTTTCGACACTGTGCATGATTATATGGAATATCCCGACAGGGCTGAAGTAAGATCCCTTATTAATCAGTCCTCAGATCAAGCCCGTGTTACTAATCATTCTTCGCAAAGATTCGTTGCCTGGTATGTCTTCGGAGCAGCTGGATGCTTGAGTCCAATCCTCTACTCTACCATCAATGTCATCGTGAGAGACGATGCCGAGGAGCGCGCTCTCATTATGGTATGCCCATTTCACTTGTGATGTGAATAACAAGAAGTCATACTGATCATCTTCTGTCTCGCACTGTAGGGTTCCATGATGACATTTGGCTATTCGTTCAATATCTGGGTTCCTTTGCTGGCATACCCAACTGCCGGCCCTGACGGTGCACCGAGATGGCGAAAGGGATGGCCAATATCATTTGTCTTTTTCTTCTTACTATGGGCCGGCTTTATGGCCTCTATTTACATATGGCGAAGGTAAAATAAAGCATTGTTAGATCGTCGTGGATATCCAACTGACATCTCATCTTAGGGAACAAAAGAAGGAATCCTTAGGATCACCTCAGGAAAGTATTGATGAGGAATCGGATACTGTGATAGTCGACGGGGCACCAGCGTTGAAGAACTGAATCTGATCGATGGAGTAAGATAGGTTTATCCTGGGTTCCAATGAATGTGGCTTTACCAGCAGCGAAAGATGGTTGACCCGACCTGAGAATCAACATAAATGCAGTTACCCCGCAGTATTCCCGAAGGGTGGAATCTGATCTATGATGATTATAAAAGGGAAGACAAGGCGAAGAGAACATGGTTGCATTGAGTTGATAAGTCGCAGGTGCCTCAAAGACCTACCCGGGACATCGCTGACGTGGGACGGCTGCGTAGCGTTGACCGAATTCGATTCATTGGGGTGTAAATTGCCAGCCATGTGAAGCCAGCCACTTGCGGTTCATTTGGTTCGCTTGGGCCCTCCGATTGTGACAGTCGTAGATGGCTAAGCCACATGCCTCCGTTGCTGTAATCTGGAGTTTAAACAAGGGGAGTCTGGTGTAGTGAGAAAACAGACGAAGGGGGGCGAGGAAAAATAGAAGAGAAAGAGAAGATAGAGATGAAAGGTATCGAAGTAAAAACAAAGGTAGTGGAAAGGGAAGCACAAATACTGCACAAAGTACCATCAAGTTCTTCATATGTGTCAGGCTTGAGTATATTCTTGATGTCCTCTCGACTCTAAAATTGGTCCTTTGGATCGCAGTCACTGTCGGTAAGGGCGTAGGTTATCTCGCAGCTTTGCTCTGCAACATTTGGCCCTTCCAACTAGGAGGAAAAATTGATACTGTATAGCACCATTCGAGAGTACATCTCTCAGCCAATTGAATATAATTGCAAAATGCTCTGTGTAAGTAGCATAGAATTTGTGGTTCCAAGCCAACGCAATGCCATCATTTTCTGCATGAAGAGCGATAAGCTTCAAGAGGAACAAATACCAATTTCGGCAAGCAGTGGCGTCAACCGGGTTGCTTCTTGTACAGCCACTGCTTGAGTAGTGAACTCATTCTCAGTAATAGACAACGCCATATGGGACTCCCTGATTAGAGTCCACGAGATAAGACCAAAATGCAAATCCAGAGTTGAAAGGCCTTTTTTAGTATGAGGACAAGCCCATTTGGCATTGTAGTAGCTCAATAGAGCAACCAAACGAGATCCGGAGTAGAGATATGCTTGCGGATTGTGGGTGATAACCAGGCCCTTCGATCCAACAAAGTGACGGAGCACCGGAATGAATTTCTTCCTCAGATAGTGACAAAATGAGACGATGATCCACATAGATCATGACGTAGAGAGGGACCTTGCCATGCCGCCAGAACATGGAAGGATCTGACCGGGTACGAGCGAATGCCATAGAAACCAGCATATCATGAAGTAGTTGATACCATTCCGGGCGGCTTTACTTCAGAGAGCATGATAACCTTCGCACGGAAGTTCTTCCGGTTGTGTTGTTGGTCAGAATCCCAATACATCTGCGCCTTCGGCCATCCACTAAATCCGTTTTGCATATCCGCTCCCTAGGAGTTAGGCATCTGTATCCTTAATTCCCCCGGCTTATATCGGACTGCTTTTTAAAAGGTAGGAAGGCAATTTCAGCAGTCGTTCGTCTTCACATCTGCTCGTTGGCGTTCGACATCACCACGTAGGCGATGGGGTTTGCTGGTTCAATGCCAGGTTTGAAGGGGAGTTTTGGCCTTGATCGCTGGGATCAGGTATGGAGGAACATCAAAAATCAACGGGTCCAGATCTCTACATGCGCCCGCCAGTTGGCACCATGTGACCTTGGACATATCCCTATAGTCATCTTCACAGACGTTGAGGCTTTTCAATGCAAGACGTTACAAAACATCGTTGCACACTCTCTGCGTCAAGCCCATGGTCCATCAAGTGTGTGCAATTCGACAAGTGAAAGACAAAATTGAAGAATAACCCAAATAATCAAGTCTATCTCTCCCCATGCACGAAGCAATGAGAGGTTCGGTTGGATCCATTCGATCAAAGAGTGGAACCCACGACTTCCTGAATTCAAGAATTGAAATCAAATCTGCGTGAGATTTTGCGAGTCTGTTGGCGTGTCATCCACTTCTGTTAGTCCTTCAATTATTGCAAGAATAACCCGTAAAGCTTAGATATATATGTGTTGGCGTTATCTTTTCCGCGCGGGATTGCGGCCCTCAACAAAAAGGAGAACGGCTATGATAATATTTCACGAAAGGTGACTGGGCTGACCCGTATTGACTGTGGCCCCATTGAAGACAATATTAAAAAGCCTTCCGTGAAACAAGCACGGACGCGGGCATAGTGGACAGTTTGAAAGTCCAAAGATCTCGACCACTTTCCTGAGGTTATAAGATATCACGGCCTATGCGTTCGTTGTTGGCGTTAATACCAAAGCATCTAGTTGGTTCCGAACCTCATCACATGTGTGGGGAGTGCAAGAGATCGAGAAAGAGACCGAACCGATGATCGAGAGAAGGTCATGAGAATTGCTGGAGCCTGGGTGTCGGTTGGGGAGGGATTGCGAAAGACGGGAGAATCGGCGGTCAATGACCTAACATCCAAGGCAGACATTTGGCAAACTGGCTGCTGTATTGCAAGTTGAAAGAGAACTGGGAAATTCAGATGCAATCCAATATCCATCACAGATGAAAAAGAAGAGAACAAGGCAAGAACACCACAAGAAACTTGATGGATCTTCCATGGTACAAGTAATTTCCTCAATACTAATCTGGTTTATGGGGTATCTGCAACTTGCAGCAAAAAGCGACCGATTTCTGCGGGGGCTTCTATCCACATGCCATCGATGCTCCGGCCAAATCACTGCTCGAAGGCCCTCATAACCGCAAGACCCGCTACTGAGCCCGATGCAACACGATTGTGACCTGAAGGATTACTAGTCAGTCCATCAAATTCTGAGACAAGGCTTTGCTTCAACGTACCACCGTATCGAATCCGTTCCCATCTAACTGTCTTCACAATCTCAGTGCCATCTTCATTGCTGATCTCATTCTTCCAGATCTTGACCTCGCTAGGGTTGCCGTCCTCGGCTTTGTAGTGCGTCACAGCGCCGGGAGCACCCTTAATGTGTTTACCCGTGGCAGCCTCCCAAACACGGCGTCCTTCGTACCAGGGAATTTCAGCATCGTCTAAGGCGTGAACAATCGTCAGATCAAGGCTTTGATCGGTGTATTCCAAATCTACAGCGGTTAACGAAGTGGCATTGACGCCGGTAAGACGAGCCAGTCTCCCAGCCGTGTCCCAGTGGTCCACAATATGGCTCAACAACCACTTCTGAAACCGAGGATATCCCATAATGGGGGACAGAATAGGTGGCGTGAGGCCCTTGAAGCTGTAGGATTCAATGAGATTGGCTAGGCTGCTGAAGGATGCCAACAGGACCACTCCAGCGAATGGCTCGGCGTTCTTGATGGCTGGTTGGACAGCTGCTGGGTCAGATGATCCGAATGCAAAACGCTCTGCCACTGCAGTTGTGACTGCAGTTCCCAAACTCTGCCCCACGATGACGATGCGAGAAGTGGGAACCTTCAATGGCCCTGCGGTAAGGAAGTTAATGAGTGAGACGCCATCTGTGATGAGACCTTCCTCTGTGGGAGTTCCAGTGCTCACACCAAATCCTCGATAGTCAATTGCGAAGACGTGGACTGGGTTTGACGGGGTAGACAGGCCCAGCATCGAGTTGTAAGTGGCAGGGCGTTGAGCAGAACCCAAGTGCGCCGCATTTCCATGGACTTGATTGCTTAAATGTCAGCTTACAACAGTAGAGATCCAGGTTGTATATCACCTACAGCTTACGACGACTCGTGCATTGGAGTCATTGGCGAGAAGCTTATGGGCAACTGTGTTCGTATAATCCTCGGCTGGGCCCGTAGAGGAATTATCCATCAGTTCCCTTTCGTGTTCCAGGCAAAGATGCAAGGGCATCAAGTGCCAGCCATAAATAGTTTCATTGTCGGGCGTCACCAAATGAAACGGTTGGACTTGGGTTCCTTTGGTGATCTGTTAGCATACATGCTTCCGTTGGGATTCATCTAGGCATAGAGGCCATACTCAGAAACCCAAATTGCTCAACCTGATTAATGTCCTGCCACAAGCTGGGGTTGATCTTGTTTGCATAAAGAACACTGTGTTATTTATATTAGCTCGCTCTGATCGAAGGCCCGGACGAGAAACACACAAACGTTGAACCTTTGCGATGGTCAAGGAAAGGAGACACAGCACATAGAGCAGTCCACCGGCTGCAAGAGACCAGTAGGCCTTCTTGAAAATAGATTTCAGCTCAACCATTCTGTATTCAGGGGTTGAGGTATTGTCTGTTGACAGCCTCGGGGAGACGGAGAGAGGTAGTGGACAATCCTAGACGGCGCTGATAAGCGGCGCGTTATCGCGTCCCTCTGATTTCTCCCTTCCACCCTCTCTCCATTCCCATCCAACCTTTCGCTATGGGATGTTTCTTGTAATCCCGTCGTGGATATCGTCATTATCTCATTGAACCCACTATGGCTGAAAAGCGCAAATTTCCGGCCCGTGACCGCCGAGAATCTGCAGCCAAAAGGCGTGTCTCCGAAATCACGCCGCAGCCTCACAAGAAGAAGGCGCCCACTCCTCACGCTCCATCCCCCGAACTAGTTGACGCTCCTCTACCAACAAAGGTCAAGGATGGAGATCCATTGCCCATATTTCGCATGCGGCAGCCAGTTTCCTTGTCGGACAATGAGTACCAGTCAATCGCCGAAAGGTTTGGCATCGCGGCCCTCATTGGTATTGCATGACTGACACTCTTTGATCTCAACAGCGCAGTTCTCCTCGCTTCACTTGAACGATCGAAGAAAAAATGGTTGAGTGATGGCATTCTTGTGCGATACTACACAAAGCCAAAGAAGACGAAGCGCGAACAGATCGAGAAAAACAACCCATCAAAGGACACTATGACAAAAATTGGACCCTGCGATGTCACCATCGGTCCCCATTTCTTTGATGCTATGATCTACATTGTCAAAGACCCCAGCGCGCCGCCGGCACTCCAATACGCACCCCCGCAACGGCCGATGGTTCACTATGGTCACCCTAATAACTTCCAACAATACCGACCTTATCCATCACCATCCAATCAACAACGACCTGCGCAATATTCTCCCGCAGTGCCGAGTCGCCCTGGTTATACAGGGGGCCACCCCTCGCCCCAACAAGCTCGTAGCTTGAATCAAGGCAATGCGCCCTCTCCCCAAGGAGGACAAAAGCCGCCACAAGGGCAAAAGGGCCAGCCAGCCAAGCCCAGTCCAGATCCTGTGATTCAAATGCTGGCTACACGGGCAGCTGCAGACCCCGAATTGAAGGCTTTGATGCGTGTTGTTGCCTCTAGCCAAGCATCGCAGGAGCAGCTCCGGGCTTTCCAAGCACACATCGACGAACTCAACGCAATCATCAAATCAAGAGAGCAGCAAGAACAACGGCAGCAATCTTCAACAGGACAACCAATTGCACAACCGTCAACACCTACAACGCAGGCTCAGATTCGAAAACAACAAGGTGGTGTAACGAAGCCAGTGTCGTTGGAGAAATCCCCACAAACGTTGCAGACCCCATCCAAGGGTTCCAAGCAACCTCCCGTGAAGACAGAGGTGCAGCCCCAAGCCCCTGCACAAGTCCCACCGAGCCAGGTTCCCAAACCTCCCCAGAGTGCCACTGAGTCTGGCAACATCAAGGAAGAGAAATCAGCCACAGAGCACAACAGCTCCCAGCCTGCACCGTCCGAAGCAGAGCGCCTAGTTGTACCGAACCAATCAGTGACACCTGGTGCTGCAAGCTCTTCAGTCCCTGCCTCTACTTCCCACCAGCAGATTCCTGTGGTAAATCCGACACCATCAGCCAGCGCTCAACAGCCCGGAGCACGACCAGGATTACCATATGCCCCCCACCAACAACCTGCTTATGGGTCACAACCTACAATTCAATCTCGCCCACCCCAACATGGATCTGCTGTTCCGTTCCCCCGCCCACCTACAATTCCTTATATCTCTCCACTTGGCTCTCCACCGGTGAACTACAAGTCTGTGGTGTTCGAGTTCACATCTCCATTAACTCCATATGGAAGCAGTACGTCAGGTCATGCCGGTTCCGGTGATCGCTATCTTTTCCCTGAGTATACTATCCTGGAATGGCTCCCAGCCGAGAACACGGTCATCGCCTCTTTTTTGGTAGTCCGGAAGGTTGCTCCAAACACACCATTCCCTCTTGAGACTGCCGCAGAGGCTGCCAACTCCAAAAACAAAGGAAAAGTGGCTTCAAAAGCTAAGAAGGGTGAAATTAAACCCAAAACCGAGAAGGGAAAACCAACCGACAGCCCAGCCCCAACCCCCCAGCCAGGGACACCTGCAACTGCGACACCACAAAAGCAGGAACCTGCTGAACCTGCTGGTCTTTCAACGACCGGTCACCCAGGGACACCTGCCAGTGAGGTGAATCTCAAGGAATACTGGCAACCAGTCACGTTTCGCATTCACGCTCCGAACGCCAAAATTCTCGAGCCTTTGGCCCGCGTCGTAAAGCCAGCCGACGAGGTGCGCAGATATATGAATGACATCATGGACCGCGCCGAACGTGCCCCAGATGGCTACCTGGCCATGCGTTTGCCTCGTGAGGCGGCTTTGGAATCATTCGAAAAGGACGGGACACCTGCTTCTTCAAGCAATGTTGGTTCCGGAACCCGCAGTCGTCTTTCCCGCGTTCAGCTCGCTGGCGAGGAATCCGAGGTGGAAAACTCTGCTTTTGAATTCGAGGAGGACGAAGAAAATCTCAAAGATTTCTATGATGCGCCCAGTGGGCTTCCACCGTTGAAAGCATGATCACATGGCTTTGTGCTCCCAAAGGCATCCGAGGGCGAAAGCTTGTTTTCGATAGTTATTGCACACCACATGTAGCCTGCCATGACTATCGAGTAATCGAGTAGCTATATATCATCGATCTGTCAATCACTGACAAGTGCGGCTGAGAACAAGCAGGCCCCGGCAGCAACGGCCGTCCCTGCGAAACCTATCGGATTCAAATGGAACCCTGAACTTCTAGGATGCCCCTGTGCTCAAAATTACATTAATCTCACGATTAAACTTGTGCCAGTTTCAAAATCTACGATTATAGAATGTTGGAGGCTGTGCATCTAGAGATGCACTGGTTGGCATCTCCAACTCCCACATCTAGCGGAAGTAATGAAATGTCCCTAACTTAACATGTTTGAAGGTTGGCAACTTGATTGTATGAGAAAATGCCGCTGAAATTTCTGCGGGTTTTCAGTGACCCAAAACATTGCAGGCCTCTTGGGCAGGCAAGTAGTATAGGCTTATTGTAATCTCGCTTCAATATCAATCCCGATAGCGCTAATTCGCAGAGATGGTGCCGGACTGTCACAAATTCAAAGAAACGCTTGCTCGGTAAACAGGCAATAAACCAACCCCATTAACCCCGCTCGCCAGAGTATCTTGCCTCATCCCCGATAATACCAGCCGCTTCCAGAAGCCACCTAGCACTCTCTCTCGCGGAATCGCCAGCCCCAGCCTTAAGATTGATATTACGACGGCGCTCAGCCTCCCGTGCCTCAAATTCCCACTTTGCACGCTGGATCTCCACTGGACTCAATCTCGGATCTGCGGAAAACGACGACTCCGGATCAGGGATTATGCCCCAAATCTCTAGGGTATGCAGGTCAAGCTTGATGTTAGTCGGCGGGTCTTCGAGGGATGTATTGGCAGCGGGTAAAAAGACGCCGTCGTGTCCGAATGATGCAGCGTGGAACTCAGCTATCTCTATGTTTGCGTCGATGATGAGACTGCCCGCTCCGTGCGGGGTTGGGTAGGTCTGGTGCGTGCGAGAGGGAGCGGGGATGCGGCAGCCGATTGCAATGCCGGTGTTGGGTGAGAAATAGGCAATTGGGGTGTTGGGCTTCTTTGCGGATAGGGAGGGGTTGCCTGGAAGGAGTAGGTGTTTTGGATATAGTTGGAAGAGGCAAGGGAGGATGTCAGAGTTTTTTGAAGACGAGCTTGAGGCCGATGTGGAGGTTCTCCACATTTGGGGGATGTAGGCGCCGAGTGTGATCAACTCTTCGCCGTTTGAGTCTGCTAGAGATCCTTGCAGGAGGAGCAGGGTGGCAGTTTGCCAGGTAAGGACGTGGTGGGAGAATGATGTTAGGGAAGATCCGTGAGCGCTTGTGGAGAAGACGGGATGTAGTTTGACGCTACTTCGGAGGACATTTATATCGGTTGATGTAGATGGAAGGAAGAATGAAAGATGCGAGGTAAGTGTTGAGTCCAATATGGCCGACTTAAAACTTCCAGGAAGTGTAAGTGTAGCCGATGGCGAGGGAAGTTCTTCGTTCTCTTCCTGTTCGGTCTCCGTAGCTTGATCTTTGTGGCGGTGTTGAGAGAGATTCAGATTCTTGCTGAAAAGCATATGCTCGAAAAGAGCTGTGAGTGGATCGAACAGATATGGCAGAGACAGCGATATTGTACGGGCAAAAGCCTTGTACGATATCCCATCATCACTCTCCTCCGGTGAAAAGGCTGCTATGATACAGTCCGCTTCTTTCTTAACTAATTCCATACGCCGACCATCCAGTCCAGAGGTATACACTTTCATAGACTCCAATGGCTTTAGTGGTGCAATCACAAGCAGTAGCATAAGCAACCGGCGGAATGTATCAATCGAAATCCGGGTTTCATAAACAGTCCTGTCAACACGGTGATCGTGTTTGAAAACTTCAATCGCGTCAAGAGACTCCAGTGCTGCAAGTGCAAGATCATCATCCTCGTCTTCTTCGTATTCATCGTTGGCAGGTTCATCTATGGAGAAACCCAGCGCATAGGAACGTTCAACCGAAGCTTCGGAATCTTCGGTGGTAGATTTTCCATAGGGCTCGGCGGGGGTCTTCCTCCCTACGTCAGCCAGGCTGCCAAAGAGCAACTTGATTCGATCCTTGTGTCCACGCTTTAGAGCTTTGCTGTAGCGCTCAGTCAGGAGCACAACGACCTTGACCATGGCCTCAAAGGTCAACACACTGGGCGCGAGCGTGTTTTGAAATGGAAATGCTCCCAGATAAGAGACCATTCGAAAAATCACCGGTCCTACATCTAAAGGCTGTTTCTGTGAGGCGACGTATATACCATCTGGGATGCCTAAGAAGTCTGAGAGGACTTCTTCATTCCAGTATCGTAGGCCTCCCTGCTCCAAGGCCCGAGAGTAGAAATTGTCTTTGAAATGCGTGAGCTCTAATGGAGTAAAGCATTTTGTGGCGAAGCGCTCAGCGAGAACCAAGCTTAACTCCTCTGCTTGTACATGTGGTCAGATAAAACATATTGACGAGACGGAGAGCTTTCTCTATCAAGCTCGAGGCTAGGTTGTTCACAATCATGGTTGATCAGGGATTGGGGCATAGTTATGTCTCCTGAACCCAGCCACAAATTTAATAGATAGAACTCACCTGGGGATGATGCACCATGCTCATTGGACTGGGCTGCACCCATTCTTGGTTGATGCGGAGACGACCCCACCGATGGTCTAAGGCTGGGGTCTGTAGCCGTGCTCAGGAGCTGAGGTAAAGCGAGAAGTTGGAAGAATAGAATGAAGTTGATAGAAATGGTTCAGATTGGGAAACCCAAAAAAGTAACAACAACGTGCAGTGGTAAGTCAACATGGAGAGTGGAATTCCACGAGACGTCATCAGATTGTTGCCTGGGGCACAGTGCTCTAGGCTCTCGCTCTGTGATGCCTGAGGCTTCTATAGTCAGCAAAGATTACATAAAATTGCAAAGTGGTCCCTGGTGAGGTTAAGTACTTGGCTCAAGCGCCCAAGTGTGGCTGCCTCGGGCATTAAGAGTATGCAAACCCTGCAAACCACTCCGGAGCACATGACCTCTGGCCTTGGTGCGATTCCAAATTAGGTTTAGGGAAGCTGGAGCGACCAGCTCTACCTTTCCAAGGTTCACTCTTGACTAAGTATTCAACCTTCTCCATCCACGAAAAATCCATCTTGAACCACATCTATAGCCTATAAATAATGTAGTGAAATCTATCAAAATTCCCAAAAATATCCATCAAACATGAACATCTACCTCCAAGGCTGCACATTTGGCTAGTTGTTGCTTTTTGAAACATTGTATTATGAGGCAGATGGCAAGTGAGTATGTAAAAGGGTTAATTAGACAGAAAAAAACCCCAGCCGGCCCAAAAAGCAGAGCTAATCATAACGAAAAGCGAGCGGACGCGTCGAGGTATGTTTCATTCTCTTGGGAGACTGGGAATGGGGGCGCTGTTTTGGCTCGGAACAATGAGTTAGAGCTCATCCCCTCGTAGAAATACGCATCGGTAATCCGCTGACGAGCCATACGGCGAGCCAGATACGCCTCGTACTCATCCCGCGTCAACGTGGCAAAGACATGGCGGGGATGCACGCAGATGGCCTGCGCGCCTTTCTGCCCGAAGCCGAATGAAGTGATCGACACAGCCTTGAGATCGGGCACATGCACTGGCCGGTTGAGATAGGCAATCAGGTCAAATTGCTGCAGAGCTGAGTCGATATTATCGGCATTGCGATTGCCTGGCACCAGGCCGGAATCCAGCATCTGCAACGCCCCATTGACCATCCAAGCGCCGGCAGCACCTTTCGAATGACCAGTCAGGTGTTTCTGGAATACACCCAGAAGCAGATTGCCCTTGCGTCGCCCAAGTGCTGTCAGCTGCTGTTGGAGGACGCTGGATTCATTCTTATCGTTCAGCATGGTTGACGTGCCATGGAAGGAAGCGACCCGTAGGTCATCGATGGTCAGACCCCAGGTCGCGAGAGCCCCGGTCAGCGGAGCAATAGAAGTATCGTGGCGCCAGAAATCGTTACCTAGCGAATACTGAGCATCCCGCTCCTCTTGAAGAAAGTCCATTCGGATCTGCTCATGACGTTCCTTGCGATACTTGACCACGTCAACTCCCGGGTCTTGTTCTAGAACCACATCTACTTCGAAATCAAGCTGATCAAGCGCTAGAGCCCGGGCTTCGGCGATCTGCTTACGCCGAAAGTCGAGACGACGTCGACGATTGATCATCTTCAGCAAAGGAGAAGAAAGATTTGACGCTGATATCGTGCGTCTTGCATTGACTAGCACACCTTGCCCAGGGGCTGGGACAGAGCGGCTAGCCTTGTCACTGGAGGTGCTCACAAAAGCAACAATGCCGCGGATCGGGAGCCCCATCTTCAACGCCAAATCGGCAGTAGTCAAGACCTGCAAGCCACAGCCTTGTGATTCCATAAAGCCATTACGAGTAGTGGTGGTTGGTCGTGACATTTCGCTAGGCGCTCTCCCTCGTGCAATCTCCTCGATAGAATTGGTGGTCGCCTTCATATTGGCAAACTCAAATGAGGTCTCCGATGTGAAGTCATCGCACCCTCCCACTAGGCAGAACTTGGCTTTCCCAGTCACAATAGTGTCGTACCCCAGTTCCAAGGACTCCACGGCGGTCGCACAGGCTCCAACTGGGGTTCGGATGGGACCACTGGCTGAAAGCAGCAGCATATTGACCCATGCACTTATAGTATTGACAAACGTCTCTTGTAGTATGTCACTCTGGACTTCCTGCCCGATGAATCGACCGTTGAACATTTTTCTTAGAGAGGTACTACCTCCCATACCGGAGCCGATGCAATTGCCCACCTCGGAGACGTGGATATACTGATATAGCTCATACGGGTCGGTGATGCCAGACGATAACAAAGCTTCTACCGTACATACTAGCGTGTACAACGTTAAGCGATCGACCTCAGAGATGATTTGGTCGGGAAGCCCGTAGATACGAGGATCCCAGCCGGTGGGAACCAGGCCTGCCACGGCACGGTCAAACTGCATGGCACGGGGAATAAATACTCTGGCCCCCTTCCGAAGCTGCACTTGGTATAGATCCGGAGTTGACGACTTTTGCACCGTTACAAAGACGCCATGCTCTCGCCGCATCTGCTCAGCCAGCAATCCAGGCACACAGAGAGGCTCAAGATCCGCCTGCAGAACGATCTCATGGAGAAACTGCTTTTTTTCAGGGTCATATCCATCACAAAGCTCGGGCTCAATGAAGCGAATGCCGGAATGGGCCAGGATCTTCTCCTCGTAAATTGGCTTGATCGCCGTGTCAGCGACTGGCTGTTTGGTTTCGGTGTCGACCCAGCCGGAGTACGGTTGCCCTTCAATGATACCGGAGAAGTGAGTGATGAAACCCATCATCCATGCCATTTCAATAGCGCCTTCTAGAGAAAAATGCCCCTGGGCTTCCATTTCCCATCGTGTGCGGGAATTACCATGTGGTCCTAGTTCGGAAAAGCCCGTGACTACCACTGTCCGGTTTAAATCCACCATCCCTTGCAAATCCTCACTGAGAGGCGCGATATCGCGATCGTATTGCAGAATCTGAGGGAAGTCCTGCCGGACGTGCGCTCTCTGTTCCAACTCCGACACAGCTGTGTCCTGCGCTGCTGGGCTTGACCACTCCGATTCGATCTTATCCTCCTGGAATAGAGCGGCTTGGATTTCGCTGCGCTCCTTGAGGTCTTGTCGCAGCTGGGCTACGGATTCTGGTAGGTTGTGGACTTGGGCCATGCCTCCTGTCAGATCAGCATAGACCGGTGCTTCCTGGCAGAGCTCGTACATTGCGCCGACACAAAGGCAAACAAGTGCATAAGCCATCTCTTCCCGAGAAAACGTGCGCATTCCGGCCTTCTCGATTCCCTCGGCCACGAGATCATTTTGATTCATCAGTCCCGTGCCACGAGTCCAGCCGATGACGGCGCCGCAAATGGAGAGGTATTCCTGCCAGTTCTCTGAATGCCAGCGATTGAAGAGCGTCTCGAGGGCTATTTTCGATTCACTATAGAGACCATCCCCACCAAACGTGCCGTGGTTGGGGGATAGCGGTAAAACCACCTGGGTGGGATGCGACCGATGGCCGTGGGCCTCTTTGTTGTTCTTCACAGTCCCCAGCAATCGTAAAAGATTGGTGAGCATAATGCGATGCGCCAGCTCCGATTTGGAGTCGATCGTATCTAGGGTCCTTCCAGCCTCACTGATAGCTGCAAAGGGGACGAGGTAGTCTAAATCCCATCCGAGGCCCTTTTTCTCATCGTACACATATTCAACCAGGGCAGTAATGTCCTGAGTACTGCCCTGGTTGAAAGGTACGACCACCAGCTCTGAGCCTCGCGCTCCATGCTCCATGTACAGGGCTTGATACTTTCGCGCTACCTCCGGAGACATCGACGAGGTCGTGACAAGCACTCGTGCTCCGCCTTGGAGGAAATGCACAATCATGGCGGCTCCGATGGACCCGATTCCTGCCCCTGTGATCAACACCGTTTGATCACTCAGCGAATCGCCCTTTGTTTCCACGTCGCGGAGAGCCTGGTACAAATGATGGGTCAGCTCCGCGGAGTACTCCCATCCCGATACTGATCTCTTTTTCAGGTGCAGGTATGGTTCAGCTGCGACTAGGGGTTTTTCGGCATGTTCCGACCTTGGCATGGCGAGGTCGGCAAAGTGTGCTGACTCTTTCCTGGGTTGTTCCCGATACTGCAGGTTCCCTTGATCATCCATGGTTGTAACAGGCGTCAGTTGACGGGGAGCCCCTCTGAATACCGGTCCCGCCAGCAAGCTATCCGTGCAATTCTCTCTCAGTGCGAGAAAGATCGGTCGAAATTGAGTGCGATCTTGCAATTGGGAAATCAACTCATCCAATACCGGTAATATGGTCTTGTCTGCTGCGTTGGCAATGTGATAGCAGCTCTTGGCTATCGAGTCACGATCTAGCATGCTGGGGTCTGTGACAGTTGATACACGATCAAACAACTCCAGCAGACTTTGGCGTGCCCAGTTCCACGACGAATTATAGCTCCGGATTTTCTTGGAATCAAAGCGTGGTCGAATACCCTGGGCGTAGTCTGAGCCATGCTCTGCATGCCAGAGATCGAGGTCAGCTTGAAGCCCTGTTGCCACCTCATCGCGCAGGCTATCCAACGCCTGTCGGTCTGCGTCCAAGTCTACCCCTAAATGGGTGGCGTAGATCTCGAGCAAGCGCTTCGACAAGGCATCTTGGGACTCGGTCAGGGCCCGGACCGCTTCTAAATCTATTGTGACTCCGGTGGCCGCGCCGCCAACATTCGATGCGTCAGGTTGAAGAAGTGTAAGCCCTTCTCGTTTCGCATATGTGTCGACGACGTGTGAAACAAAGTCATGAGCGTCAGATTCAGACGTGACTCGGCTGGTGGGTTGCATGGTGACGGCGCAGAGCAAACATGCATCTTGTCGACCGGGTTGAAGTCCCCACTGGGTGCGCAGCTGCCTTCGAGCGGTGGCGACAGTGAAGTTACTGGGCATTTTGGCGGTGAATAGGTTGTTGATCATGGCAGTGGTGACCTTGCCCAGGGCACCTTTGTGGCTCGATTGGATCTCTGGCCCGACTTGGGCGAGTGGCAAATCCTCAGCACGGTCCGGCAACGAGCCAAACTCGCCATGTAGGTCGCCGATAATTTCGTTTTCCAAAGTTGATCTGCCTGCAGGATAGTGCTCAATTGATTAGTACAAGATGGTAAAATTGGAATGTTGAGCTATGTACCTTCAGTCAGAGCCTTGATAGACTTGCTCCCATCAATTTCAGCTGTCACTCGCTTGAGCGCTCTGGCAACAATGGCGAACACTATATCTTGAGCCTGGATACTTTGATCATCAATTTCGACGACTTCAACGTGCACCCTGGAAGAGGGCAGGGCTGTTGTCGTTACATCCATAGTGGCCGTAGGAGCGGGTAGAGCTGCCTCCGGCTTTGGTGGTGACATCTGTGTTTCCGTCTGCGTCTCTATCTGCACAGGATTGAATTGATCTGGCTGCCCAGTGTAGTAAATTTCGTCCAAGTCTTTTTCAGAATGGAGGAGCTGGCGCGGAGCCGGCAAAGTACATTCTTTGGTCGAATGGATTGTATCGATGGTTTTGCGCAACATTCCCAGCAATGTTGCACTGGGACCGACCTCAATAATGCGATCGCTTTTCGTGCGAGATAGAATCACCTCTTGGGTTTCGATCCATCGCACAGGGGAGGCAAACTGGTACCTAACGAAGTGGTTGATTGCTTAGTTGACGATCTTGTCTTTTGAAGATATGAGGCTTACTCACACCATCAACTCCATTAACAGCGTGCGAGCGAGCTTCCGCTCTGTCTCACTGTCTATCATCATTGTGATTTGCTTCTCTTTTGCAGTTGGCCTGCTCTGAATCACCGTGAAGGGAGTCAGTCAGCGTAAGAAAGCCTCTTGTGTCTCCTGGCTATACGCTATCTGTCAGCTTTTCATGTGAATTTATCCATGGTCTTGTTCAGGACTATATCTTACATGGGCTGTTAACCATGCGTGTAGGCGTCCCCTCTATACGGGGTGGGGAACTGACCGTGTTATTACGGCGTATCTGTGGGCATTTGTGTAAGTATGTAATAACGTAATTTATGTTAGTGTAATTCAGTACTGTATTACCATCTACTTTGCGTCATATTTGGATCGGTACCATGTATGTAGGTACCTCGTATTACCAGCAGTACTATGAAGCTGGACTTGGCAGGTCAGCCCTAACAGGCGCTAATGATTATGTGCTTTTGAGATTTAGCATAGCCCCCTAAGTACGCAATCAATGTAGCACAAGGTGTAGCTAAGGATATCACGAAGTAAAATAGATTTGCTCAGCAAGGAATTTTGAAGCCAAGATAGATGATTCACTCGATGGGGGTGGGTCCATTGAGTTCCGGAGGTCATTCACATTTTACCCGAAAATGATTTCAAGTATTAGCATTTACGTTGTCTTGGCCAGATTTGATTCAATATGCTCTATACTGTAGAAATAGGTTGGGGCTATTTACCCGACTCATGAAAATAAACCCAAACTAATAAGACGCAACCTGACTAGGACTACGAAATAGCGACCTTGGTACTTCGCACTCAGTGGTCATCTTAGTCATCTGCCATCACAGGCCAAAGCCAGTCTCCCTCATTGGGAGTTACACCCTTCTGCGCTGCCAACAACGCTTTCGAAAGACGCTGGCAACCTTCACCAGGTCCATCAACCGCAAAATTGAAAACATCGTCTGTAGACCGCCGGGTGATCGACCGGATCGGGACGACCATAGCCGCCGTCCCCGCAGCCAAAATTTCTGTGAAGTGGGGCAGCTCTAAATACGGGATCTTTGAGGAGACAATTAGCGAGGACAAGAAAAAAAAAAGCCTAAAGAAACGGACAAAACATACTGGTCGTAACTCCACAGCCCATCCAAACGACCGTGCTAGCTCGACACAAGATGTGCTGGTGACGCTGCGAAGAATCGATGGACTACTAGGTACCACTAGCGTGAACGAGTTCCCAGTCTTCTTCAGTCCCAAAAATCCGGATGTACTAAACTCGTCAATCTGCGACTGTGTTCGACTGTCAAGATGCAGAGTGATATAGAATCCCTCTGCACGGGCCTGATCACTCCACTTTAGCACAGGAGCATAGTTGCCTCCGACCTTGACATGGCCCACGCCTCGAGGAGCAGCACGGTCCAAGTCTTCCAAAATCAGCGCTGGCAGGGGCTGGACTCCATGATATGCCTTGTATGGCTGCGCATATACGCAGAACCTGTAGCCAGTGCCTGCAGAGACGGCGAAGAAAGCGTCTGACCCGAATACCAAAGGTCGGATGTACAAAGCGGCCTCAGAGTCATGAGGAGGAACATACTCGGCGTTACGGACCACTACCAGGTTGATACTGGCCAGAAACACATTTTCTGGGATAGGGGGGATAGCAATGGCCGAACAAGAGAGGGCCAGACGAGCTGCGTGATCCTTGGGTCGAAAGATTTGGATCTGGCCGTGAGGGTCACGGTAGGCTGGAGAAAGGAAGCATTAGTCAAATTTAAGTAACTGGGGAGCTCAATAGAGATCCAACCTTTCATGCCCTCAAAGGCTTGTTGGCCTACAATGGGGAGTTAGAAAACGGACAAGCGTTCTTCGGAGTGTTGGAGAATGCACACACCATAGTTGAGTCCAGGAGCCAGGCCGTGAATGCGCAGCAGAGGATCTTCTACAAAGTGAGGAGCAGACCACTCCCCAGTAGCAATTGAGTATTCCGATTCAATATGACCATTCACTAGACCCGAGCATCAGTGAGTCGTCTGGTAAAAGGGAGGCAATTCATAATGTGACAAACCTTCCATAGGAGAAACACCCAAGTTGTCCCATTCTGCACATGAGAAAAATTAGTAATCACACAGCGTAAGACCGGGTGAGCCCATTGGAAAGCGTACCTATGGAGGCAAGAGGGGGAGGGGGAAAAGCAGCCATTGGAAGAATGCGTTCGTCAAGGACAACACAAATGCGAAGTAGGGTGAGAGTGATACAGACAAATCCTATGCATGTTAGTTCACTCTTGGTTCTTGAGCCCGTTTCAGAATTAAATGGAATATCTGCATGTTCTTTATTAGTCGGTAATATATCGAAGATGGAAGTCAAGCGGATGGGCGGGCCGATAAGCCGACGCTCTGAATGATACCATCTAACCCTTTGGCAATGTTACATCGAGCGGCATTAGGATACGAACTGGGAAAATTTTGTCCATGGCGGTAGAATTCGAATGGCTGGGACTAATCTTGCTAGTATGCGGACTAGGCACATCGGGCTTTGAAATGGGAGACTGAATAGCCATAGAATAATTACCCCTAGCAGAGGCGTGGCGGTCTCTGCTAGCCTTGAGAGCATTGGTTGTGTATAGAATACGACCAGTAGTGCGTGTGTATTGTTCATTTTATTTTGTACTTTTTTTTTGGTTAATAAACATAATTAAATTCCAGATCTTACTTACCAGACATAGCATGATTACAAGAGGGACAAATTGGGGTCCGAAAAAAATCCAATCTACTATTTCCTACCATGTGCTAACGTGCATAGTGAGGGAAATATGCTAAGAGAGCCGGGGATCATGCACATTGAGACAAACTCATACCAACTTTTATCTCATCCTGCTAAGAACATACTGGAGTGTACGCCGTACTCAATCTCCGATCAGTAACACTGCCCTGTGCCATTTCGATTGCAAACTTCTTAGTTCCGTTTATCATCCCCGCCCAATGGATATATCACAGTTTCAATCCATACAGTGCCCATGGCCTGCGTCAGACTCAGTGTCGCCGGCATCAACACCTCCGACCTCCTGGGAAGAGCTTGAGCCTTGCTCCCCAGAGGCTGAGATTGTTCTTCGGGTGGGTATAGTACACTGCACTATAAGGGTGCCACAGGGAATGAATCGCAGGGGTCGGGAGCTTGTAGAGCAGTTCGTTTCAACGGCGCCAACGTTGGAGCCCTCATCTGCCCTGGAACTGTGCTGCCTGTTCATGCACTATGTGATGCATGAGGCCATACAAGATCGAGGTGACCTGGAAATGAAAATTCTCCAGCATGTGTTAAACACGGTCCATGTCGATCTCCTCCAGAATGAGAATATCCACGCTGTCCTGTCGGAAATGAACCAGGACAAGAGCCGACACCAATGCATCCTGCAAGCTTATTTCCAAGCATGCAAAGAAACGAGATCGTCGGGATTTGTGGGGACTAGTAGCCTCTTTTCTGATGTCGACAACGGCCATGCGCAAATCTTTGCCCTGTTTAATGGACAAGGCGTGGAATCATATTTTGACGAGCTCCTGGCCGCCTACGACATATACCATCCTCAAATAGCTTCTATAATTGGCGCCGTGTCGGAATCTCTCAAACACCTGGCACATGACGATCGATTTAAAGCTATGTTCCCACGCGGATTGGATGTGGACCAATGGCTCCGCATGCCAGAGTCTCGTCCAAATGCCCATTACCTCACCTGCGCCCCCATAAGCTTCCCGCTCGTCGGCCTCTCACAATTTGTGCAGTATGCCATCGCATGCATAAATCTAGGTCTCTCCCCAGGAGAGGTACGGCATGTGTTCGCTGGCGCAATAGGCCACTCCCAAGGCATCGTGGTAGCCGCCTTCGTGGCCGCCGCCGATTCATGGGATTCTCTCTGCAATGCAGCCCAGCAGGCGATTAAAATGCTTTTCTGGATTGGCTGTAGATGTCAGCAGCAGATTCACGACATTCATCCAGCATCTGTCGTGTCCAGTTGCATGCTTAGCATCAAGGGTCTTTCCCAGACTGATGTCCAGCGACACTTGGACGAACTCAACCTCTGCCTACCCGCAGAAGAGGCAGTGTACCTTGCCTTGGTAAATGGACCAGAGCAGCTCGTCGTCGCAGGACTGCCGCTTTCACTGCGGGCACTAGACCAGAAAATCAGTCAAGGCCAGACTCAAGCCAAGTCCACGAAAGTTTCTTCGGGCCGTGTCCCCTTCAGTCAAAGCCATCCTGTAGCCCACACTCGATTTTTGGCCATTACAGCACCGTTCCATTCGCCATATCTTCAAGATGCGGAGTCTCAACTCTTGAGGGACCTTGCTGACGTCTCCCTCTCCGGCTCGCAGTTGGCATTCCCCGTGTTTCACACGGAAACCGCCCAAAATCTGCAGAAAACTGGTGATATTGTCCCCCATCTGATAGAAATGATCTGCACCAGACGTGTACAGTTTGAAAAGGTTGTGGGTACCACCCTGGCCGGAGTGACGCATGTCCTCGACTTCGGTCCTGGCGGCGAGGTTGGCATTGGAAGCCTGGTAAATCACCAGAGAGAGGGCACAGGCCTGCGCACATTGATCCTCAGCACTACCCTGGGGGTCGCTAGTAGTCACAACTCCACGCTGGGGTCTGAGAGTGAGCTGTACACCCAAAACGGACCAGTCATTTACAACCCTGCCTGGGACGCCGAGTTCACACCGCGCCTCATGCGTTCCGTTTGGGAGTCTCGACACCTGGTCGACACCAAGTTTAGCCGGCTATTAGGCGTCCCTCCAGTGATGGTTGCTGGAATGACCCCGACTACCACCGCATCGGAATTTGTAGCTGCTATCATGAACGCTGGCTATCATGTTGAGCTGGCCTGTGGAGGATTCCCGGATCGCAACAGCATGCACCAGGGTATCCTGGCAACCGCGGCAGCAATAGCCCCGGGCCGTGGCATTACATGCAACGTCATATACGCCAATCCTCGAGCTATGGCGTGGCAAATTCCCTTACTGATTGAGCTAAGAAAGTCGGGTATCCCCATCACAGGTTTAACCATCGGTGCTGGTATTCCCTCGCTGGAGATTGTCCGGGGGTACCTGACCGACATGTCACTCACCCATCTGGCTCTCAAACCAGGCTCTAAAGACGCCATCGATGGTGTTTTGGCAATTGCCCAGGCAAACCCCACATGTCCAATCATCTTACAGTGGACAGGTGGTCGGGGTGGTGGACATCATTCCTCTGAAGACTTCCATGAGCCGCTTCTAGACCGATATGGACAGATCCGATCTCATCGAAATGTGATTCTCGTTGTCGGGAGTGGGTTTGGTAATGCCGAGGAAACCTATCCCTACTTAACGGGTACCTGGTCCCACCAGTTCGGTCGTGCACCTATGCCGGTGGATGCCATCCTGCTAGGTAGCCGTGTGATGGCGGCTAAGGAAGCTCAGACCAGCGAGGATGTGAAGAGGCTCATATGCAGCACTCCAGGTGTCAGCAACAAAGATTGGGAGCAAACGTACGAGCGTCCAACCGGAGGAATCATCAGCGTGCGATCCGAGATGGGCGAGCCGATTCACAAGTTGGCCACACGCGGCGTCATGTTATGGGCCGAGTTGGACAAGTCAATCTTCTCCTTACCACGGGGTGAACAAAAAGCTGCTCTGCTCGCACGAAAGCCTTATATCGTCAAGCGTCTCAATGATGATTTCCAAAAGGTCTGGTTCGGGCGAGATGTAAATGGCGCAACTGTCGATCTGCACGAAATGACCTACGCTGAAGTGTGGGACCGCATGATCGACTTGTTGTATATGAAAGGAACTCAAGAGTGGATTGATCCTTCATGGCAGGCCCTGGTATGGGATTACACTCGCAGGTTAGAGGAGAGACTAGGGAAGAAGCAGCGCCGCCTCCTCCAACGCACAGACCAACTAGACCAGCCCCGGCAGTTCCGAGACCTGCTATTTTCGGAATACCCTCAGGCACATGTCGATGTGTTGACAGCTGCCGATGTAGAATATCTTCATTTACTATCACACCGTCGGGGGCAGAAGCCAGTCCCTTTCCTCACGGTCCTCGATGAAGATTTCGAATACTGGTTCAAGAAGGACTCCTTGTGGCAGTCAGAGCGTTTAGAGGCCGTTGTTGGACAGGATGTCGGCCGCGTGTGCATTTTGCATGGGCCAGTGGCCGCTCAGTACACAAAAACAGTGGATGAGCCAGTGAAAAGCATTTTAGATGATATTCACAACACACACGTCGCGTGGATTCTCCGCGATCAGTATGTGGACGATCTCGCACGAATCCCCTCGGCAGCAAAAAAACGCAAGAACCAACCATATTGGCCTGTCGCGGGGGTTCATATGTCTCCAGATCAAGACGGAAAGACTATCAGGTATTATGTCTCCGAAAACCCGGCAGACCTGCCATCACCGGAAGTCTGGCTGCGATTACTGGCCGATGCCACTACTGCACCATGGTGCCATGCTGTTCTCACCGAGAAGAACATTGTTCAGGGTAGAATCCTCGCATTCAATCCTCTATTGCGACTCTTTACTGTCAAACCAGGACTGGTTGCCGAAATTCGGAATCCACAAGCTCCGAATGAGGCCGAGATCATTCTCAAGGAAATCGAAAGGGATGGACGCGGCAGAGAGCACGTGTTGGCAATCGCCTCTCTTCGCTGTAGCCATGAGGGCCTGATTACTTTGACCCTCTCCGATCAGACCGTGGATGGTCGAGCGCCAGCACACTTGGTCTTTCGATTTCAATTCCAACCACGCGGTGGGGCTCCCAGCATCCATGAGTTGATGCCTAATCGCAACCAGAGAATTCAGCAATTCTATCGCTCAATCTGGATTGGGGGTCAGCAAATGCCATCTACCCCTGAATTTGTGTTCCGGGGTGAAGATCTTGTCTTAGACCGAGATGTGATTCGCCGATTTGCCAGGAGTTTATCTAATCGGAGTCCAGTCTATAATAGCTCTTGCTTCCAGGGGTTACTGGTAGCACCACTGGATCTGGCCATTGCGGTAGCTTGGAAACCCATCATGAGCTGCCTGTTCCCAGATGTGGTCTCGGGTGATATGCTCCGACTACTCCATCTAAGCAATGGATTCGAGCTTTGCGACGGAGCTACGCCATTGCAAGAAGGAGATCATGTTTGGTCAGATGGCCGACTTACAGCAGTGACCGTTAAGAAAGGATCTAGCAAAGTCGTGGAGGCGGAGGGAACTATCTATCGCCAAGACAAGCCTGTAATACGCTTGAAAAGCAAGTTCATTATGCTTGGATCCTATACTGATTCTGGACCGACGTTTGAGACCAAGGAGGACAAATGGCGTCTTCCGCTAGTCATGAGAAAGGATGTCGCTCTGCTTCAATCGAGAACGTGGTTTCGTCCTGAAGGGAAGATCGATCTGCTGGACTATCTCCACCACACGGTTGAGATCCAGACCACGAGCCGCACATGGTTTAGAGATGCCGAATCCACCCCAAAACTGAAGGTTGAGGGACGGGTTATCTGGCAGTCTGATTCACTATCAGAGTCGGTGGTTCTTGGGTCGATTTGCTTCTCCGATGCTGCCCCTTCTGCCCGAAACCCTGTAACGGAATACTTGCAAAGACATGGGACCTCTAACACTGGGGATAACTTTATCTTTGATGCCCCTCGGCCTCTCGTCCAGGATCTGACTTTCACCGCTCCTGATTCCGGCTGCGAATATGCCCGAGAATCTGGCGACTGCAACCCCATCCATCTATCCTGTCTCTTTGCTCGCTACGCGGGCCATGATACGCGAGTTACACATGGCATGTTTACCAGCGGATATGTGCGTGGTCTGATCGCATCCCATTTGGCGCGCGGCGATGAAACCCGTGTTCGATCGTGGTCGTGCACTTTCGATGACAAGGTCTGCCCCGGGGATAAACTATCGATTGAATTAAAGCACGTCGGGATGTCTGGAGGCAAGATGTTAATAGCCGCGCAGGTGCAAAATGTTCTCACTGGGGTCAAAGTCCTTTCCGGTCAGGCAAGCATTGTCCAACCAACAACGGCATATATCTTTACAGGACAAGGTAGCCAGCAATTAGGCATGGGCATGATTTTGCACGAGAGCAGTCCGACGGCGCGGCAAATTTGGACAGCAGCCGATGAGTTTTTTGAGAATACATATGGTAGGAGCTGAGCTGACACAAGATGAGCCGACCTTCGATGGCTGACAACTACCAGGATTTTCCATTACACATATTGTTCGCAACAACCCAAAAGAGCTGACGGTTTATTTCGGTGGAGCTCGTGGCCGTGCTATTCGAGAGAACTACATGTCCTTGACTTTCGATGCGGTGGATGACGATGGTACGACCAAATGCAAGCCCATCTTCCCCAGCGTCAACCGGACCAGTCGCTCCCACCGCTTTGTATCGGTCGATGGTCTGCTCCATGAAACCCAGTTTACACAGCCGGCGCTCGCGCTGATGGAAATTGCGCGATTTGAAGACATGCGGAGTCGAGGGGTAGTTGAAGACGCGAGCCTCTTTGCCGGGCACTCTCTCGGTGAATATGTGGCCCTCACAGTCATGGGACGTGTCTTCTCGGTGCAGAAGGTCGCTGGCTTGGTCTTTTACCGGGGTCTCAGTATGCAGAATGCAGTTCAACAGGACTCGCATGGGGCTACCCAGTACTCCATGTGTGCCGTCAACCCCACCCGGGTGTCTAAAAGCTTTGGCCAGGACGACCTGAGTTGGTGTGTAGCAGAGATCGCTCGACAAGCTAAGGGGTTGTTGGAGATTGTAAACTACAATGTTCTCAGCCTGCAATATGTGTGTGCTGGTGATGTAAGCAAAGCATTGTTTTTCTTCTTCCACATTTCCTCGGAATGTCTGCTCTTTTCCGCATGCTAACCATCTGATAGCTTCGGGGATTAGCAACCCTTACAGAACTCATGAACGCCCTGGCGTCTCGATCGTTGGGGACGCTATCCAAACCCGCTATGCAGCGCTTCATCCAACACTCCTTGGCAGGACTAGATGGTTGCACCGGGCCAGTGATTCTCAAACGGGGTCAAGCTACTATCCCTCTTAAAGTGAACGTGCCATTCCACAGCAGTCTGCTCCGACCTGGCGTACCGTCTTTCCGACGGTTCTTGAGTCGCAATCTGGCGGAATCTTCTATCCAACCCCAACAACTGGTTGGTAAATACATTCCCAATCTCACTGCCAAACCGTTTGAACTTTCCAAGGCCTACGTGGAAAGTGTGCTGGCGCTGACTGAGAGTCCGGTCTTGGAGCATCTCTTATACAAAGTAAGTCTTTCGTTCTCTATGGTCCAGAGGACCCTCGTCCTAATGATTTCTGTTCCTAGTGGGAATCCATGGAGAATGGAGAATGTGATGAACGAGATTTGTTTCCTTGGTAGGGATAGGTTTAGCTTCTGTTGTCCTGTTTCTCTTGTAAAATTTACCTATTATATAAGAAAGCATTCAATAATCTATCTATTAATTCCTGTCTACGTTCTTAGTTGGGCTAGTTTCTCTGTTTAGAAAGCCCATCATCTACCATGAAGAAAATTCAATGATAACTCTCCTAGTCTACGGTAAATCTTTGTTCTTCTCCACGTCTAGGACAATTGTCCTTTACATATCCCAGAAGATACCCCCATGACACGAACATGTCCGTAGTCATCATTGACATTCAACTACATGTTTCCGGCTCCAAAAAGTAGAAAGTCTGATGGGTTCCGAAATGTATCTATATCCACCTGTAGGATAGAGTGCCATCATGGTTGATTAGCAACGTACTTTATTTTGACATTCATGAAGCCTTGCTTGCTACTGAAGGCGAAATTTCACTCTAGCCAAAGTATCGTTCTACTAAAGAGGTTTTCTCACCACCACTTGCTCTCCCTAGTGCGGTGAAAAGCCAATGGGTCCGTCAGTCAGTTCCTTATGGGCCATTGTTGGCCCCCAAATCCGAAGACGCTACTCTCAGCACAGGGCGCAAGAGTCAGTAGCAGTCGTATGGTCAGATTCAATCAGACCCACAGAACCCCTCAAGCCTTCCTCCTAAATCTTACGTTCATACCGTGTTCTGAAGGTACTTACACCGAGACACCGGCAATTTCGTATAAACAAGTTGGCTAGTGGGTGGAGATGAGCAGATTGTCAAGAAAGATTGCGCACTTGACATCGGAATTAGTCAAACACCGACATGGATTGCAAATACGAGGTCTTTTGGAATGAAATAGAGTGATTCGACCCTACGGACGTAAGTTGGTACGCGTTATCCACTGTGGTAGATGGCTCGGCTTTTCTAGAGACAGTTTGTCTCCCAATCAGCATCTTTATTCTCTCCGAATCTTTGCGACGAGACCTGGCCGCACCACTTAGCCGCATTTAAGGTGACATCGGTCGAGATTGATGCTATGTCAATGGTCTATCACGTGGCGACAGGGGTCGGATTAGGTACGAAATATATGCCGCACATGGCATGGTATGATCTAATTCTAGAATGTGGATAGAAACCATGCTGACACGGGGGGAAATGAAGTTATCTCCTAGAATATGCAGCTAATTGTAAGGGTCCTCATTTCGAGAACGGGTTAAACACGGAAGCGGCGCGGCCAAGCACTGTCAGCCTCGGGCGGAGACTATGGCTGCTTAGTGCTGATTTATATATCCTTGAAGACCCTGATTGGATTCGAAGCAAAGGTAATCTCCATTTACAGTGGAGTTCAATGTGCTTGTCTCACATGGAGACGAGAACTTCTCTCAGCTCAGACCGCGTGTTCCCGTAGTGTTACAGTACGTATAGTACACACGTACACTAGCATGTACGTACAAGGCTAAATGCAGAATTTTCGTGCTCCGGTTTGTTGTTATATACATGGTACATTGTATATCGGCCAGTACTATACGTATCGACATATGTACCTGTATGTAATTTCATAGAGCGGTTTTTTCCATACCAAGTGTACGGTATTTCAAAACCGACAAAACACCCATCAGTTACCACGAGAAAAATGCCTCATCCTTGCAACCCGACGGTCAGACCTTGCACTTGGAAAGATGAGAACGTTGTAGAATGCAGTTCAAACCGGCCTGCTTTCTGTGTGCATGAAGCAACTAGAGGCTTAGGTGCATCCGTCTTTTCTCTCTTATTTTCCCTCAAGTCTTTTGATGAGCAATGGGACGATCCCTCCACATCGGCTCAGTTCCTGACCTCACGATGATAGTCCCCCAATGGATCTTTCACCTCGCCATCCGGTTATTGATCTTAGGGTTCATGGGACTAGTAGTTCTTGTGCGCATCCTCAATATCATTCCTATGCAAACCTCGGCTGGACTCTCGCTGATCTGTAGAATAGGTTTTGGTGGTGTTGACCTACCGTCTATTCTTTCATCCCCTTGCAAAGTACCCAGGGCCCTGGCTGGCAAAGATTAGCGATCTTTACAGCGGCTATCACTCATGGCGAGGTGATCTTCATCTTGATATGTGGAGATGTCACGAGAAATACGGTGATTTTGTGCGATACGGCCCCAACAGCCTGTTGTCCAACACAGCCAAGGGACTCCATGGTATGAATTTGTATGCTGAAACAAAGTGACGGATCATATGCTAACGAAGGAGTGTCATATAGATATTTATGGCCATGGCAAGAATTTCCAAAAGTCCCAAAAGTATGCTGCAATGGTTCATCGAGCGCCCAACACATTGACAGTCATTGATAAGAAGAAGCATGGTAAAAAAAGGAGAGTCATCAGTCAGGCCTTCTCTGATAGTACACTCAAATCGTATGAGGGGGTGATTCTTCAACAGGTTCAGAACCTGTGCAATGCTTTGCGAGAGGGTATTGATGGTAAATCAGTTCAAGTTGGTGCTTGGTCTCCCCCGAAGGATACCGCACATCTCAGTATGTTTCAGGTCCTGATCTGGCCAATTTTGTTTTATTTCAGCGACTAATCAAAATCCTGTAGGTGATTACTTCACTTTCGATGTCATGAGCAACGTTATCTTTGAAGTGCCATGGTCAACTCAGCGGGATCCAAAGTATCGTTTTGTCCCGGATGTCATTGAGAAATCCAATGTGCGCGTTGGTGCATTGTCTCAGGCTCCTGAGTTGACTCTTTTCCGAATTGACAAGCATTTGTTCCCAGAGGCCATCCGGGCTCGCGACCGGTTCATCAGCTTTGTAGAAGAAATGCTGCGCCAGGGAATTCAATCAGCGACCAAGACAGGAAGAGGGGCATTTTCTCTCTTGAGCAAGACTATTGACCCGGAAACAGGCCTTCCTCTTCGGATGAAAGAGCTTGCAGGCGAGAGTGCTACCCTGATCGTTGCTGGTAAGAAGTCAAAAAGAAGCCCAGAGTAAATCACGTTGTACTGACCGGATGATTTGAAACAGGCACTGATACGACCTCAACTGCTGTAGCGGCTTGTTTGTTCTACCTGTCCCATTACCCCGGTGCACTTGAGAGGGCCACCCGCGAAGTCCGCAGCACATTTGAATCATCAGATTCCATCACGATGGGCCCAAAGATGCACCAGTGCACCTTCTTACGTGCCTGCATTGAAGAAAGTATGCGGATGTCCCCATCTGCGGCTAGCTCACTGTGGCGAGAGGTGACGGACACAGGTGCAGAGGTTGACGGTGAGTACATCCCACCTGGGGTGGATGTGGGAACGTGCATCTACAGCATCCATCATAATCCTGCCTACTATCCCCATCCATTCACTTTCTGTCCTGAGCGATGGATTGCGAAGGAAGCTCAGCTTTTTCAGAGCGATATTGAGCTAGCTCGATCTGCCTTCAATCCCTTCTCCATCGGGCCCCGCAGTTGCATTGGAAAAGGCCTAGCATACGTGGAACTGTCTCTGGTCTTATCGCACGTGCTTTGGGCCTTTGATCTGCGACTAGCACCGGGGGAGCTGGGTCATGTTGGTGAAGGCAAGGTGGATAGTCCTTTTGGCCGGCATCGGGTGAATGAATTCCAGCTGTTTGATCATTTGACTAGTGCTAAACACGGACCATTTTTGAAATTCAAACCTCGAATTTAGGCAAAGAGGAGGGAGCCAGATGGATGTACCTATTGAATTTGAGCACCTTGCAGAATTGGAGGATGAAGCGAAGCGGCAAATTATGTGGCATTCTGGCAGATTTTCATTTTTACATCACATACATAAGCAAAAATTGAATGGCAATATCATCCTGTACCTTTGATCCCCATTGATAACAGACAAGATCAGTTGGCCTTGTCATGTCCTTTCAGATGGTTCCGTTTAGATGTGAATACAATAGAAAAGCACACTTTGTTCAAGAGCTTCTCGAGGTTTAACCTTTTGATTACAATTGTACTTTCGCGACAAACTCATCTTATCAAGAGCATGTCGATGTCAATTGCTCAAGATCCGCGGGCTTAGTTAGGCATTGTCTCGGAAAACAGGGGCGATTATGTAAGGAGTTCTGCCCGGTGGAAGCCCTAAGCAGTCGTGTAGATTTGTGTGCTTTTTCAATTCATTTAACAAGCTCGTACACAGTACGAGCTTGCTCCACTTGAGAGTGCAATAATACATTAACTCCATAGAATACCCAAACAATATGCCATGTACAACGTGGTATGTGTGTAAGCATCAAAGCCTAGAGAGTTTCTACCGCGTTTCCGTAATTTGTTCCGTAATTAATTTGTTCCGTAATTAATTTGTTCCGTAATTAATTTGTTCCGTAATTAATTTGTTCCGTAATTAATTTGTTCCGTAATTAATTTGTTCCGTAATTAATTTGTTCCGTAATTAATTTGTTCCGTAATTTGTTCCGTATTTTGTTCCGTATTTTGTTCCGTATTTTGTTCCGTACCATGTGCTGTATCCGGTTTGATAATGCCCGTTTCACAATTAGGTGAGCTCTAGCGTACCTTTTGATGGAGATTTCATGTGGCGTGCTCGTTTAGAAGCAGTTAGCCAAATCCCACCAATGGAAAGCAATTGGAACTGAAATGGGATGGCGGTCCGAGCGTTGACCGATGGTAGCTGGAATAGTCAATGGACTGTGATGGAAGAGAGATGCGAGCATAGGAATTAGAAAGCCCATTCGACTCTCGAGATATCTGTCTTTTGCCGACGGGCGTGACTTCGGAACAGTGAAACGGGTGCAACGAAGCAGAAAAGAACTTACGCATTGTAAGTCTCGATCTGAATCGCAAAATCACCCATCATGAGCAACCAAAGCCCATTGCCAGGGGCCGTTTGCAGGTTTCCTGCGCTACAATCGGAAGGAAATGATGTAGAACCGACCACCAAGCATTCACAAGTCTCGATTGAACTGCCAACGGCTGATTTCCAGTCATGGGCCCACGGCTTTAGTCGCGATCAGAAAATTCCCGTGTCAAGCATCTTCATTGCCATATGGAGCCTAATGCTGAAGACCTTTACGGGAAATGATGAAATTTGCACCGGTGTTGTATTTCAAAATTCGCAGCTTGATGCGGTGACCACCGTGGTAGAAGAACAGGCTACTGTGATAGAGTTGCTTCGGTCAATTGCAATTGGGACAGGAAGCATCAAAGATTCGATGGCGGAGCTGCCCTTCAACACGGCGGTCTACTTCGCTAGCAAAAGAGAAGAAATTTCCAGGGACCGAAAAGATGTAAGTCGGAGTTTAATCTTGTGAATAAATTCTGATAACTGACCGTCGACGGATAATAGTTTGAGGTATCCCTGCTAGTGGTTGATGGACAAACCGGGATGGATATAACTCTGATGTATCAAGAGAATCATCTTGCACCATCTCATGCACAGCACGTGGCAAAAACGGCTAGTCAGTTGTTGAAGGAATTCCAGCTTGATGCGAGCCGACAAATCTCGCAAATCAACCTCCTGCACCCTGAGACTGAGACGCAGTTGCAAAATTGGGGCAGTAACCCCCTAGAAGTGGTTAAAGATTGTGTGGGCCATCTCTTCGAAGAGACAGTACGACAGAGGCCACTAAATGAGGCAGTGTGCACAGCAGAGGAGGTCTTCACATACCAGGAGCTGAATCGCCTCAGTGGCAGACTAGCCATTCACCTGCAGAGTTTGGGAGTTGGGCCGGAAGCTGTAGTAATTTTGTGTTTCCCCAAATCTGCCTGGGCTGTGGTGGCCATGATGGCTGTCATTCGTGCAGGTGGTGCCATCTTGTTTCTGGATCCATCACATCCCACTGCCCGACACCGTGAAATTGCAGATCAAGTTGCAACGCAATGGATGCTCACTGCACCAGAAAACGCTGCCCAGATGCAATGGCTTGGAGGCGTGGTATTGCCTATCGACCGTGTCTTTCTGGATTCTCTGGGGCCAATTCCCCAGGAAACGGCTCTAATATCTACCGCGATCCCATCAAACACATTGTACATCATCTTCACCTCGGGTAGCACTGGAAAACCCAAAGGATGTGTAATAGAACACCAGCAGTTCTTGACTGGGTCTCGTGCACAGCAGAAAGCGTCTGGGATGGATCACAATGATCGAGTGTTGCAGCTAGCATCGTTCACCTTTGACGTGAGTATCCTCGAGATTCTCACTTCGCTCATATCGGGGGCCTGTGTCTGTATCCCAGACGACGGACAGCGGTCAAAGGGCCCAGCACCCTGTATTCAGCAATTTGACATTACGTGGGCATTCCTCACACCATCGCTGGTAAAATCCATGCATCCTGAGCAGGTCCCGACGCTTAAGTTTCTGGTGCTGGGAGGTGAAGCTGTCCTGGAGGAAAATATTCATGTCTGGGCACCGCACGTGCGATTGGCTAACGGATATGGACCAACCGAATGCTCCATCGCTGCAACAGCTCATGTTCCGTTGTCCATCCACGCCAATCCTATGAACATTGGATATCCTCTGGGCGGCTGCTGTTGGATTGTAAAGCCGGATGACCACGATAGTCTGGTTCCAATTGGAGCTCCAGGAGAGCTGCTGATCCAAGGTCCTATCGTCGCACGGGGATACTTCAATGAACCCGAAAAGACTCAAGCCGTCTTCTTGGATTCGACGAAGTGGGCTCGAGCCAATCCTACATCCCCCTCACGCGTCTACAAGACTGGTGACTTGGCTCGTTTTAATGCAAACGGCACAATCCACTTCATTGGCCGGAAAGATAGGCAGGTAAAGCTTCGGGGCCTACGAGTTGAACTGGGTGAGATAGAACACCGCATCGCAGCTCACCCACTTGTTAGCCAGGTTTCTGTTGTGCTCGTAAAAGATGGACCTTGTCAGGCAAAATTGACCGCCATCATCTCATTGATTGATCTCCAAAATACATCTAAAAATCTCGAGCTGCTCACCGGAGACCAATACAGCTCTACCGCAGCACATCTGATAGCCATCGCGAAGTCAGTCTCAGCGCAGCTGCCCAGCTACATGTTGCCAACTGTCTGGGCGCCCGTTTGGTCGATCCCGTTGACAGTCTCCGGAAAGCAAAATGGTGTGGCAGTTCGCCAATGGGTGCAGGAAATGTCCCTCGAGACATACAATTACCTGATCGGAAAGGGTGGTGATCTTCAGCGGGTCATTCCATCAAATGACCGCGAGCGCGAAGTTGAAGCGCTTTGTTGTGAAATTCTGGGCTCTGTTCAGCACGATGATGTGTGGTTGAACAAGTCATTTATCCAAAACGGGGGTGACTCCATCAAGGCAATGCAACTCCTCGACAGATTGCGTCGCCAGGGAGTTGCTGTTTCGTTCGAGGATGTGATGCAAAGCGCAAGCCTGATTGAACTAGTCCAGCGCATTGAGAGCCAAGTTTCAGTTGATCCTTCTCTCAATCAGGTGTCCCGTGTATATTCACCTTATATGGATCAGCAGAGACTTTCACGGGTTGGCGTCGACATAAAATCGGTGGAAGATGTGTATCCGCTATCTCCTGTTCAGCAAGGAATTCTTCTGAGCCAGCAGCAAAACCCAGAGAGCTATCAGCTGCGTATCACTTGCGAGGTGTTGTCATCGCTAGGAGATGAGATAGATCAGCATCGTTTGCTAGAGGCTTGGCAACAGGTTACTGCCCGGCATCCTGCGCTACGGACTATCATGATTGAGACTGAAACCGAAGACGGCCTGTTCGACCAGATGGTCCTGGTTGAGAGCAAGGCGAGAGTTTTAGAATGGAAAAAAAAAGCGAGAAGGCCTTTTGGCAAGCCCAGAAAAAATTTATCAGGACAGATAATGCACTGCAACCGCCAGTGGTGTTCATTGTCTCCACCACAGAGGATGGCAAGCGCTTCGTCACGATCGACATCAGTCACGCCCTGGTCGATGGAGTTTCCATCTTGATCTTGTTCCGAGACCTTTGTCTTGCCTATGATGGAAAACTGACGACCGGTCGTACGATTAAGTACTCTTCGTATATCAACTATATTCGACAGCTGTCATTGCAGTCCTCACTGGAATACTGGACCAAACACTTGGAGGATGCAATACCCTGCCACTTTCCCACTCTAAACGACGACCTCCCAGGTGAGAGTCAGCCAGGCGAGCTGAAAATGGATATCCAGGGCATAGACGCGCTGTCTGAACTTTGCGCGGCGAAAAACTTCACGCCAGCCACTGTCTTCCAAGCCGCATGGGCCCTGCTACTTCAGACCTATACGGGGCAGGATGATGTCTGCTTTGGCTATCTCACTGCAGGGCGCGAGATGCCCGTGGCTGAGATCAGCGATGCAGTTGGTGTGTTTATCAACATGATGGTCTATCATACGAAGCTCTCTCCCGAGAGCACGGTGGCTTCTCTTGCGAAGGAAATCCAGCAGAGCTTTATGGGGGGCCTTCCCCATCAACACTGTTCTGTAGCCGAAATCCAGCATGCCTTAGGGCTCTCGAAGCCATTATTCAACACTATAATGTCCTTACAGAGTGCCTTAGGAGAGGATTTATTTGGAGGAGAACCTGACGGGAAGCTAGGCTTCAAGGTGGTAGATGAATTGGACCCAACAGAGGTAAGGCCGAATAGAGACAGTTACCATTCTCTCATTTACAGGCGTGCTGTGCTAACAAAGTTTAGTATGATGTCTCGATAAATATTTTTGTCTCCAAGGAACGAGTTTCTTCGACCCTTCGATATTACCGGGCGACCTTGAGCGATGCCATGGCTGAAAATGTCCTCGCAACATTTTGCCGGGCGATTGATATCATTGTCCATGAACACGAATCCGTGTTAAGTGGCTTGGACATGATGAGCGACAGTGATAAATCTCAAATTGCACGCTGGAATCACCACCAATGGGCCGATTTCCACGTATGTGTTCATGATTTGATTTCCGAACAAGCGCTCGCGCGACCACAGGTAGTCGCCATTGACGCCTGGGATGGCAGATTTACTTATGAAGAGCTTGATTCTATCACTAGTGATCTTTCTCGACTGCTGGTGCTAAATGGTGTCAAGCCAGAGTCTCTGGTCCCCATTGGATTTTCTAAATCCCGCTGGACTGTTGTTGCTCAGTTGGCCACGTTGAAGGCGGGAGGTGCGTGTGTTGCCTTTGATCCGGAGCACCCCAGAAACCGACGGGAGCAAATGGTTCAACAATGCGATGCTACTACCGCCATTGTCGCAGAAGGCAGTGAGTTTCTATTCGAAGGGCTGGTACCACATGTGATCATCCTCGGGGCGAAGACCATCCGCACCTTACTCCAGGGCCAGAAAGAGTTGACCCTTCCGTCGGCTGCGCCTGCGGTTTCGCCCTGGAATCCTGCTTTTGTTGTCTTCACGTCTGGCAGTACGGGTAAACCAAAGGGAATTGTCTTAGAACACCATGCAATTTGTAGCAGTGCAAAGGCACACGGTCCCGCCATGAACTATGGCCCAGATGCGCGGGTACTACAGTTCGCCTCGTACACATTTGATGTCAGTATCGGTGAGACCTTCACTTGTCTGATGAGCGGTGGCACGCTTTGCATTCCCAGCGAGTATGAACGGATGAACGATTTGGCCGGAGTCATCAACAGAATGAACGCCAAAGTTGTATACCTCACGCCTTCGGTAGTGAGTCTGCTACATCCCTCCGAAGTCCCCGGGGTCCATACCCTGGCCCTGGGAGGTGAAGCGTTGCGAGAAAACAATATCACAACTTGGGCCGAGCACACCAATCTAGTGAATATCTACGGCCCAGCCGAATGTTCCGTGTGGTCGACAGGCCTGCAAAAGGTCCCAAAATCTGCATCTCCTCGTAATATTGGCTATGGTCTCGGTGCAAGAATTTGGATCACCAGTGTGGAAGATCCAAACACTCTGTGTTCAATTGGTGCTGTAGGTGAGCTTTTAATCGAAGGACCAGTTGTTGCCCGTGGATACTTGAAAGACGACGAGAAAACCCGCGATGTGTTCATTCCACCCCCTGCATGGTGGTCAAACTATCAAAGCTCAGATTGTGACCATGAATTTAAGATTTATCGAACTGGTGATCTTGCGAGGTACAACTCCGACGGTACTATCCATTTCATTGGTCGTCGGGACCATCAGGTCAAGCTACACGGGCAGCGTGTCGAAATGGGCGAGATCGACCGGACGTTGTTGATGCACGAGAAGGTTCATAATGCCCTAGCCATAATTCCAACCAATGGTCGACTGGCTGGTAAGCTGGTGGTGGTGTTGAGCTTGAATGGCGAGGTTCATGCTCTCCGCAAGGCTGTAATCGAGTTGCGAGGGGATTCCAATTTTGATATAGCACCTGTGAGAGACTGGCTTGTCACTAGGCTGCCTGCCTACATGATACCTTCCACTTGGCTTGTTCTTCATTCCATCCCAGTCACCAAAAATGGAAAGTCTGATCGTCCAGCCGTGGTTGCCTGGGTCGAGGGCTTGGTGGAGATCGATGACAACTCGACACCAATTTACAGCCCAGATGGCCTTGGTATTGGTCCGATTAACCAGATGGAAACGGATATCAGGGAGGTGGTCAGCTTGGTGCTGAATGTTCCGCTGTTGGAAGTTTCTATGAACCGCAGCTTCATGGCCTTGGGAGGAGATTCAATTACTGCAATGCAGACCTCCTCCCGATCCCGAGCCCGTGGCATACGGTGTGCAGTCAAGAGTATTTTGAAGAGCAAATCAATCCGTCAGATTGCCTCCGAAGCAACGATTATCTCCAATTCGATGGAATCAACGAAGAGTGACAGTCAAGCTTTCCGTCTCCTGCCAAGTTTGCGTCCATCTGACCTCGATGAATGGGTCAAACGATTGGGATACGCAGGTCTTTCCAACGTTGAAGATGCCTATCCCTGCTGTCCAATGCAGGAAGGTATTCTGATCAGTCAAGCACAGACTCCCGAGACTTACAAGTTCTCGGCTATCTGTGTTATCCGGGGAGTGGACAAGACGAAGCCATTAGAGGTGAGCCGGCTCCACAGGGCATGGAAACGTGTCGTCGCGAGCCATCCTGTCTTGCGCACCTTTTTCCTTGAGGGTCTACCAGGAGATGCAATGTACAGTCAAATTGTACTCAAGGAATATACTCCCAGAATTGAGATCGCAAACAGCCTAAATAGTCTGTTCAGTTATCATCAAGAATACCCCGTTGATTACAATGAGTCCGTGCCTCCGCACCGGATGACTGTCTTCGAGAAGAAAGACGCGCTATACTTCAATCTGGAGATAAGCCACACTTTGATTGACGGTGCATCAATGCCCCTTCTGCTGGGCGATATCAGAGCAGCGTATGACAGCGAGATCCCCCCTGGGCCTCTCTTTTGTGACTATATCGATTTCTGGCAGCAACAGTCTCGGGAGACCACGACTGCATTTTGGACTAAATACCTGGATCATGTGCAGCCATCCATGTTCCCATTTCTACTAGATAGCCATGTCACAGAAAAGGCGCTCCGTGTGGTCAACATGCCAGTTACTGAGCACATGCTATCCAAACTGAACAAATTCTGCAAGGACAATGAGTTGACAATTGCAAATGTCTTCCAAACAGCCTGGGCCCTGGTTCTGCGAGCTTACACCAGAAGTGTAGACGTGGTATTTGGATATCTATCATCAGGGCGCGATGCTGACGGCCTCGAATTGGATCACGCTGTTGGTCCATTTATCAACATGCTGCCCTGTCGGATCGAAGTCCAGGATTCCTCTACATTGATTGAAACTGTGAGAAAAATCAGTACCGATTTTTTAAACTCTCTGCCACATCAACACATATCGTTAGCAGAAGTCCAACACCGTTTGCGACTCTCTGGAGAGCGTCTATTCAACACAACCCTCTCACTGCAACGCTCGATGGTAGAATCCGATGAAAGAAGCAGCAGCATCGTTGTCGAGTATCTGGGTGGTTTGGATCCAACTGAGTACGACTTGGGAGTGAGCATCACTGTTGGAGATGGTACCATCAATGTTGATATCAATTACTGGACGAGTTTCATGTCGGATGAGAAGGCTACCATGTTGGCTTCAACTTTCAACACTATTCTTGCTAATCTGCTAGCCTCACCAAGCAAGAAAATCCGAGACTTTGACTTGATCGGCGACAAACAACACCAATACTTGATGGCTCTCAATGAAAATGGGAAAGTTCCAGAGGCCATCACAGGATGCATCCATGATGAGGTCCACCAACAAGCTCTTACCCATCCATCTGCACCAGCCGTTGAGTCTTGGGACGCATCACTCACGTACTTGCAGTTGGATCAATTTTCTGACAAGTTAGCGACCAAGCTTGCCGCTATTGGGGTTGGACCTGAACATGTGGTGGCCCTTTGCTTTGACAAATCAGCCTGGGCGGTCGTGGCGATGTTGGCAGTTCTCAAGGCCGGTGGTGCGTATACGTCCATGGGCCCATCTCATCCTAGATCTCATCTGGCACAAGTTATCCTGGCTACAAATAGCCTTGTCGTCCTAGCAGGATCAAAGTCGTACGGAAGCTTGGTAGGTGACCTAGTGGATCATGTCATTGTGGTTGAGCCTTCTCTATTCCCATTGCTTCCTGAGCACAATGCGGAAATCATCCAAAAGTCCTCTCCGGATAATGCTGCGATGATCAACTTCACCTCAGGTAGCTCGGGAAAACCAAAAGGTATTGTGGTTTGCCACAGCAGTGTACGGTCTATGATAGCCCACAACGCGGACATGGGCATTGATCGATCTACTCGTGTCCTACAATTCTCTGCTTACACGTTTGATACCAGCAATGGCGAGATTTTCTTTACCCTTTGCGTCGGAGGTTGTGTTTGCATCCCATCGGAAGACGACCGGCTTACTGATTTGGCTGGGGCCGTGACACGATTGGGGGTAAGCTATGCATTCCTGACTCCCTCTCTGGTCATCTCCCTTTCACCAGAGACGCTTCCCACATTGAAGACACTAGTTCTTATCGGTGAAACCGTTCCCACCGATCTTCCGCGCAAATGGCAAGGCCACGTTCACTTACTCAACAGTTATGGCCCAGCTGAATGCACAGTGATGTCCTCCTTCGCTGTATTGGAGGATGGAGCGCCAGTGACCAGTATTGGACGAGGCCACGGATGCCTTTTGTGGGTTGCAGATCCGGATGACAGCCAGAGACTGGTTCCTGTCGGCTGTGCTGGGGAGCTGCTTATCGAGGGACCCATTGTCACACGCGGCTACCTGGATCCGAAGTTGACCTCGAAATCGTTCATCCCCACTCCAGCATGGCGCGGAGAAACGCTTAGTGGATCTCGAATGTACAGAACGGGAGACCTTGTTAGAATTCTTACCGACGGAAATATGCTGTTCCTAGGCAGAGCTGATGGCCAGATCAAACTGAACGGACAGCGTATCTCCACATGGGCCATCGAGGAGGATATCGGTCGTCACTCTTTGGTTCACCAGACTGCTCTTGTCGTTCCTAGCCAGGGACAATGCAAGAAGAAGCTTGTTGCACTGGTGGCATTTGAGAATGATGTACCCATTCAGGATGTTTTCACGGACGAGGTGGTACCTTTTAGTGACGATGCCAACAAGGAGCAAGTTATTGACGAAATCATTTCCATTCGAGATCATCTCGCAGAAGCTCTGCCAAGTTACATGATGCCATCCGTCTGGCTGCTGTGCTCCAGTCTTCCTTTGACTGCATCACGAAAGCTTGACAGGCTTAAGGTCAAGGGCTGGGTGGAGGGTATGGATCAGCAAACATATTTCAATGCACTCGCGGAGAAGAAGAAACAGGCTAATCTGATTGATACCGGTACTCCCAAATCCGATGCGGTGGAGCGTTTGCAGGAGATTGTCGGTCGTGTTCTGAATCTGCCGCTGAGCCAAGTGTCTATTCAGCGATCCTTCTTTAATCTTGGCGGTGACTCGATTACTGCCATGCAACTGGTGGTGACGTGTCGAAATGAGGGACTGAAGCTGCTCTTCAAGGATGTAATGCGCAGTGTTAGTATCAGGGCCCTGGCTGACTTTGTGCAGGTGGTTGATCACATTAAAGTGCACCACCACAGAGACCAGTTAGATACGCCGTTTGACCTGACCCCCATCCAGCAATTTTATTTCCAAAACATATCCCAAGGAAGTCATGAAGAAGCTGTGAATCAATTCAATCAGAGTTTTCTCTTCCGATTGACCTCAAACGTGCCTGCGGAGCAATTGAAGGATGCAATTGACAAGGTTGTCCAGCGTCACTCGATGTTGCGAGCACGATTCCGACAGTCATACAATTCACAATGGAAGCAAACTTTGATTGGACACAGCGATCTAGCATATCGATTCAGGCAACACACGGTGAATAGCGAACAAAAGGCGCTCGATTTGGCACTGCATTCGCAGGAACAACTCGATATCCAGAATGGTCCTGTCTTCGGCGCGGAGTACTTTTCAATTCCGGGCCAGAGTCCGCTATTCTTCCTAGTGGCTCACCATTTGGTCATTGATTTAGTTTCATGGCGCATCATCTTTCAAGAACTCCAAGATTCAATTGTTGGAGAGGTCGCTCAAGCACCCACTCCTCCATTCTCCTTCCAGCAGTGGCAGCAACTGCAGGCCGAATATGCCGCTGAACATCTTCTGCCAAATCAAGCTCTGCCTTACATGATTCCCAGACCCGACTATATTTACTGGGGCATGGAAGATGTTCCCAACTTTGCCGGCGACACCATCCAAATCTCTGCCATATTAGGACCGCGGGAGAGTGAAATTCTGCTGACTGGTTGTCACCAAACAATGAGAACAGAGCCCCTTGACATTCTCATTGCTTCTCTATTTGCCTCATTTGTGAGAACCTTCCAACGAGCTCCACCTGCCATCTTCAATGAAGGCCATGGCCGCCAGCCGTGGAATAGTGAAATCGACCTCTCCGATTCAGTGGGCTGGTTCACTACCATCTTTCCTTTATTCTTATCCGGATTAGAGCCAACTACACCAAATGGGGAGATTGTTCGTGGTGTCAAGGATCAGCGGCGCACGCTTCCTGCCAATGGATGGGCCTATTTTACCTCAAAATATTTGAATGAGGACGGTGTGAAGGCTTTCGCCGACCACATGCCTGTGGAAGTCGTGTTCAATTATCTCGGATTATACCAGGGATTAGAACGGGCAGAAGGCATTTTCCAGCTGGTGCCATTCAACAAGGGCGATGTTGGATCAGCGGTGCAACGTTACGCGCTGTTCGAGATCAATGTCTACGTGATCAATGGGTCTATCCATATCTCTTTCACATTTAATCGTCACATGAAGCACGTGGACCGTATACACAAGTGGCTTGAGAACTACGCGGCCTCTTTGCGGGATCTTTCACAAGATCTCGCTGCGAGTAACTTAACTCTCACTAAGAGTGACTATCCCCTCCTCGACATTTCATATCCTGAATTGGATAAGTTGCAGAACTCAAGAATACCTCAGCTGGAGTTCACTTTGGACGATATCGAGGACATTTATCCATGCTCGCCACTACAAACCGGCATCTTGCTCAGTCAGCTTCGTCTTGAGGACACCTATCTCTACCACGCCATCATGCGAATGGACTCTTGCGCCGGCCTTCCTCTCAATGCAAGACAACTGGCTGTGGCATGGCAGCAAGTTGTTGATCGTCACACAATCTTGCGTACTATTTTCCTCGAAGGGATCACACGGCAGCCGTTTGACCAAATGGTTCTCCACCGCCACCGTCCCGAATCTCCAATCCTCACTGCGGAGTCCAACATCCAAGCGCTTGAACTTCTCAAAGGCTATAAACCTCTGGTACCATTAGTCAATAAACCACCCCATCGCTTCATTGTGGTGCAATGTGCAGAAGGCCCGGTCTACTTCCGGCTTGACATGAGCCATGCTCTTCTGGATGGAACTTCAATGTCGGTACTAATTAGTGATCTCACATTTGCCTACGGCAACCAGCTCTCCGCCCCAACGGCTATCCCCTACAGTGATTATATTGCATACATCCAATCACAGCCTCCAGTGGATGGCCTCAAGTTCTGGACAGACCATCTGGCAGATGTCAAGCCATGCCATTTCCCTTCTTTGCTAGTTTCAAGCGAAGTGGAACCGCAGATGAAAGCGATCAATGTCATAATTCCTGATCATTTGGAGGTGCGTGCTTTCTGTCAAGAGAACAACGTCACGCTGGCCAATGTGATCCGGTTGGCATGGTCCCTGGTCCTTGCTGCATATACAGGAGAAGAGCATGTCTGCTTCGGTTACCTCACTGCGGGCAGAGAGATTCCTTTGCCAGGCGTGGAAAGTGCCGTCGGTCCTTTCATCAATATGCTGGTTTGTGCTATAAATCCTGGGCAAATCAGCCAAAAGTCAGTTGTTGTGGAGTTGCAAGACCTACACGATGAATACGTCAAGATGCTCCCGTATCAACATGTCGGCTTGGCCGAAATTCAGCATGCACTAGGCGTGACTGGCCAGGCATTGTTTAACACAGTTGTCAGCTTCCAACGCCGTGATGTTGGAATGCTGGTGTTGGATGATCTGCAAATGACATATCTCGATGGCCTTGATCCGACAGAGGTAAGCTTTAAAATTTGTAACTCTAGGCACTGTTGGTCAGCGATATCTAATACTTTATATTCATCCTAGTACGATATCAGTGTCAATGTTGCTGATACCGACCACGGTTTTACGGTTGATCTGGGCTATCTGACTTCTCGACTTTCCCCGGAATATGCAATCCCTGTTGCAGGAGCTCTCTCCGCTGCTCTTTCATCAATTGTGTCTGGGCCTTCATCTACGATAGACTCGATTGATATTTTCGGCGTCACGGACCACAAGCAGGTCTCTGATTGGAATTCCTCTAGGCCTCCGATTGTGGATGACTCTCTGCATTCACTATTTCAGCGAAATGCAATGTTATATCCAGAAGCACCAGCCATTGCCTCCTGGGATGATCACATGACCTATGCGGAGCTGGACAAGAAGTCATCCCAGCTCGCCTATCTCCTCCTCAAAATGGGCGTAGGGTCGGAGGACCTCATTCCAATTTGCTTTGATAAGTCAACTTGGGCAATAGTTTCCATGCTTGGTGCTCTTAAAGCGGGGGCAGGCTTTGTGCCTTTGGACCCCTCCAGTCCAGCAAGTAGACTACAGCTGATCATACAGCAGACAGCTTCGACGTTGGTGTTAGCATCTGAGAATAAGCTGGCTTTGGTCGTCGATTTAGTGCCAGAGGTGCTGGTAGTTTCCGCACGTGCCAGCATCTGGGATGAGGAAAATTCCGACGTATTGAATGACCGGGTTTCGCCCCTGAGTGTCGCATATGTTCTATTCACCTCGGGCAGCACTGGCACTCCAAAAGGTGTTGTGATGCAGCACGCGGCAGTCAGTACCAGCGTGATCCACCATGGAAAAGAAATTGGATGCAACTCTGCCACGCGAATGTTCCAGTTTGCAGCATTTACCTTCGATGCATGCATTCTGGAGATATTCACGACCCTGGCCTACGGTGGGTGTATCTGTATCCCATCTGATGCCGAAAGAATGAGTGATATCGCAGGCGCCATGGCTAGATTGAACGCCAATACCTCTTTCCTCACTCCTTCCGTTGTGCGTCTTCTTCGACCAGAGCAAGTTCCCACTTTGCAGACACTTATTCTTGGAGGAGAGGCACTGCACGAAGACAACATCCAAATCTGGGCAGAGAGCCTGCGTCTCATGAATGGCTATGGGCCAACTGAAACCTGCGTCTTCTGTGTCATGAAGACCTTCAAGGACAAGAATGACAGGTGCGATATCCTAGGTCGTGCTGTTGGCTCTGTTGCCTGGATCACTCGCCCAAACAACCATGAGCAGTTGGCTCCTGTTGGAGCCGTTGGCGAGCTCTTGGTGCACGGCGGCACATTGGCTCGAGGCTACCTCCATGAGAAAACAAAAACCGATCAAGTCTTCATTGCAAATCCGGCTTTCTATTCGACGACGGATAATTCCATTCAAAGGTTTTACAAGACCGGGGACTTGGTTCGCTATAACATCGATGGTACCATCACATACTTGGGCCGCAGAGACACACAAATCAAGCTCCGCGGTCAACGAATTGAGCTCTCCGAGATCGAACATCAGATCAATCGTCACTCGGCATCGAGAGCCCAAATCGCGGTCGAGGTTGTTGTCCCTCGCGGAGACAAAGCTCAAGCCCTCCTAGCTGTTTTCGCCTTCAAGCCAGTTAGGCTGGCAGGCAGTGAGCTCCTTGGAGAAGTCACTGCGGAGACAAGAGCCTGGGCATTGGATCTCAAGGCTCAGCTCGCTCGGGTACTTCCGCCATACATGCAACCATCTCTTTATGTTCCCACCAATTGGATGCCAACAACGTCTGCACAGAAGTTAGACCGGAAGTCCCTTCGCAATGCGGTGGCCAAGCTAACTGACGGTCAATTAAAGGGTTACTCCCTTCGTGAAGACGGTCGCCGGGCGCCTGACACTGTATCTGAGAAGAAGGTGCAGAAACTCTGGCATCGTGTCCTCAAGATTTCAATGGATGAAATCCGATCAGAGGACAACTTCTTCCAGATGGGCGGAGATTCAATTGCAGCAATGAAAATAGCCGCTACTACGGATGAGGACTTCCCCATCACCGTCATGGATATCTTCCAGTATCCAGTTCTGTCCGAGTTGGCTGCCGTCATGGCGGCCAAAGGGTTCTCCAACGGCCACAACCGTCTGTCTTTGAAACAATTTGTACTACTGGATACCGTTGCTGAGATTTTTGAAATCGTGGATGAAATTAGCCAGCAATATCTCATCCAATCCGAGTCCATCGAAGACATCTACCCATCTAGTCCTCTTCAAGAGGGTATGATGGCGCTTTCCATGCTCAACCCCAAATCGTACATACTGCGACGAGTTTTCCGCCTTCGTCCTACTCTGGATGTTGCTCGATTCAAGTGTGCCTGGGAGCTAGCTGCCGAGAAGAACCCGATACTGCGCACGCGCTTCGTACCAACCCCAAATGCCGGATTTGTGCAGGTTGTGGTGAAAGGCAGTATTGACTGGACGAGAGCAGCAGACCTGGAGCAGTACCTAGAACGGGACACAACCGAAGGAATGGTATACGGGGCTCCGCCAGTGCGCTATGGTCTCACAGAAGACGGCTTTTTCATCTGGACCGCACATCACGCTGTGTACGATGGCTGGTCATTGCCGTTAATTCTCAGTCAAGTCCAGTGCGCTTACGAGCACGGTCACTGCCCTGACTCCACGCCATTCAATACCTTCATCAAGCATCTGCAAGACACAGATCCTCAATCCAGTCAATCTTTCTGGGCAGAGCAACTGTCCGGCCCCCATCTCTCGACATTTCCTGAGCTGCCCTCCTTGTCATACCAACCTTCTGTTCGAAGCAAGCTGCGGCACGAAATCCTTGTGCCGCACCTTGAAGACTCCACCATCCTCACAACCACAATCTTGCGAGCTGCATGGGGCCTACTTCTTTCGCGATATGCAGATAACGATGATATTATATTCGGCATGACTCTCTCTGGTCGCAATGGTCCAGTTTCTGGCATTGATACCATGATCGGTCCCACCATCACGACGGTGCCGGTGCGGATGAAATTCGCTCCTGGGCTCACTGTCAGTGACTTCCTTACCCAGGTTCAGCAACAGTATACGGAGATGATCCCTCATGAGCATTTCGGCTTGCAAAACATTGCTGGCATCAGCTCGGATTGCGCCAGGGGAATCAAATTCCAGAATTTATTCGTCATACAACCAATATCTGACGCCACTGAGGCTGAGGATTTCTTCCCTGGTGTAGAAGAGGTTGAGCTACCCCTAGAAGACTTTGACAGTTATCCCCTGGTAGTTGAATGCTTCGTCGCCCATGACAAAATCATCATTGAGGCCCGACATGATGAGAACATTCTCTCCACCTGGCAGGTGCAGACTATGATGCACCATTTCGATCACATCCTTAAACAAGTCACGCAAGCTCACACCCAGGAAGCGCAAGTAGCCTCTGTGGACCTCTTCGGCGCGCATGATCTCCAGCAGATCATCAGGTGGAATAGGCAGTATCCCGAAGCTGTCGATTTGACAGTACCAGTGGTCTTTGCCGAGCAGGTCTCGCAACAGCCAGAGGCCTTGGCTGTTGATGCTTGGGATGGGCGTCTGACATACAGTGAACTTGACCACCTTTCAACGGCCCTTGCTCGCTATCTCGTCTCCGTAGGAGTCGTCTCAGAGGCTCTCGTACCTCTGTGCTTTGACAAGTCGCGATGGGCTGTGGTTGCTCAGATGGCTGTCATGAAAGCCGGCGGTGCTTGTGTCAATCTCGATCCTGCGCACCCCCAATATCGTCATGAAACCATTGTTGAAGATGCTCAGGCCACCGTCCTTCTAACGAACCCTCGTCATGCCGATGTCATCCGAACTTCCGCGGTGTTGCAGACGGTGGTTGTGACAGAAGGCTTCATTTCAAGTCTAAAAGATTTGACCCACGAGCTGCCGATTGTCAGTCCCCGAAATATTGCCTATGTGCTTTTCACTTCCGGAAGCACTGGCAAACCCAAGGGCATCGTCATTGAGCATGGCTCGCTCTGCTCAAGTTCCAAAGCCCATGGAACACGCTGGGGGATTGGCCCCGGGACTCGACTCCTGCAATTCGCTGCGTATACATTTGATGTCAGCTGTGCGGATATCTTTACCACGTTGCAAAGGGGTGGTTGTATTTGTATACCATCGGAGGAGCAGCGTCTAAATGATCTATCGGGGGCAATCAACACCTTCCAGTGCAACTGGGCCTTCTTGACTCCCACCATCGCTGCTCTACTCCCGGCAGATAATCTCCCGTCACTGAGAACTCTGGTTCTCGGCGGTGAAGCTTCCACGCGTGACACAATTGCCAAGTGGCACAGTGTCCTCGATCTCATTGTTTGCTACGGTCCCGCAGAATGCTCGGTATACTGCTCTGGTGCTCCTCCAGCAATCGCAGCCAGTGACCCGGCAGACCTGGGTGCAGCCATTGGCTCTCTCTATTGGATCGCCCACCCGCAGGACTCCAACCGCCTTACGCCCCTGGGCTGTGTTGGAGAACTGCTTCTGCAAGGTCCAACGGTGGCTCGAGGCTATCTTCATGATACCGAAAAGACAGCTCAGGCATTCATCTCGAACCCCGTGTGGGCACCCCTTCCGGATTCTCGATTCTATCGCACTGGTGACCTGGTTCGCTACAATGAAGATGGCACGATCCGGTTCGTAGGTCGCAAAGACACCCAAGTCAAGGTCCGTGGCCAGCGCGTGGAACTTGGTGAAATCGAGCATGCTATTCGTCTTGCAATGCCCACTCTCGCCCACGCGACCGTAGATGCGGTGCAAGATCCTAATCGTCCCCGGCAGATTCTGGTGGCTTTCTTGCATTATAGCAATCAGAGTGGCCCTGTCGAGGTCAAGAACATATCCGACGAACTACAAGAAGAGCTCGTCACCCTTCAACAGACCCTTGGTCAACATCTTCCATCATACATGGTCCCATCCATGTTCATCCCCCTATCTCGTGTGCCTTTGACCATGAATTCCAAAGCTGATCGTCGACAATTACGCGAACTGGTGATTTCCCTGTCTCAAAAGGATATTTTGGCATTTTCCCTGGCCAACAGCATGAAGCAGGAGCCGAGCACGCTGATGGAAATGCAGCTTCGCGCACTATGGGCAAAGGTCTTACAGGTTGAAGAACACTCCCTGGGCAAGAATGATCATTTCCTTCGATGCGGTGGAGATTCCATTATCGCGATGAAGCTCACAAGTCACGCAAGATCTGCGGGCTTCAGCTTGACCGTCCAGGATATCTTCCAAACTCCAGTTCTCGGGGAGATGGCGGCCCTCATGTCCCGAAACACACTGCAAGTTATTTCGCCGCGGTCGGCGGTACCGTACACTCCTTTCTCTCTCCTCGGGGATGTCTCCCTCTCAGATTTGCTTCCCGGCATGGTGGTCTCAACACACCCGGAGAATATCATAGACGTTCTCCCTGCGTCGGATTTCCAGTTATCTGCAATTTCCCACTCCATGATGAAGACTCATGGCTTGGTGAATTACCTCTTCCTTGACGGTGAAGGCGAGGTCCCATGGGACCGAGCATTCATTCAAGAAGCATGGGGCCTCTTCCTCCAAGCCCACCAAATCCTCCGCACTGTATTTGCCGCCCACAGAGACCGCTTCTACCAGGTGGTGCTCCAGGAAGTCGTGCAGCCTATTGAGTGGTATGAGGTGAAAGGAGAGATAGAACCGTTCTCTCTCAATTTGTGCAAAGAAGATGTCGACAAGCACCTGCCGTTGGGCACTCCATTGACCCAGTTGACTGTTGTCAGTAACCAAAAACGTCATCGAATCATTCTCCGGGTCTCTCATGCCCAATACGATGGTGTCTGTCTGCCGCGGATCTGGCAGAGTTTCCAAGACGTCCTCTCCGGTCGCACGCCTGCCCCGGAGGTTCCATTCTGCCAGTTCATTGCCAACATCCAACTTGGTAGCCAGGACTCCCAAACATACTGGCGGGAATTCTTATCGGACTCCACTGTGACCACTATTGTTAAGCAATCTAAACCGCAATATCGGAATGTGTACGACCTTCACCTGACCCGGACAATCCCCATTACCTCCCAGTCCGGCTCGGGAATCACCTTCGCAACCGTTTTGAAGACTGCCTGGGCGTTGGTCCTCTCATCAGTGTCGGGCAGTGCCGACGTCGTCTTTGGCCATGTCATTTCAGGTCGGAACATCCCTCAAATCAATATCGAGCAGGTGGTTGGTCCGTGCCTCAACATCCTCCCTACCCGTGTCATAATTGACCCGTCCTCGAGCTTGAGTGATCTTCTGGACACCGTGCAAGCTCAACATACTGCTCATATGGCCCACGAATCGATGGGCACCCGTGACATTATCCGAAAGTCTAGCCCATGGCAACCTTCCACTCGCATGGCCACTATCGTGCAGCATCAAAACATTGACCAAGATGCAACGGTGAGTCTGAACAATCAGAACTATTCGGTTGGAGATTTCTGTCCCGCAGCGGATGAGGCGGACATTGCGATCAAGACCACCCCCCTTGACAACAACCAGATTGAGGTTCTTCTCATCACCTCGGCGAAATCAGTTGGGGAGTCCGTGGCAGCGGCCCTTTTGGATCGTCTTTGTAACACGATTCAGGCTATCTGTAACTCAACAGATGCGCCAGTCGCAGTCTCCCAATTGACTCATTCAGAGGCCGTTCTTCCCTTGTCAAGTCCAGGGGTCTCCAACGAGGTGCATGATGACTCTGCCGTCAGTCGCGTCGACGGAATTCCATCTTTGGAGACTAGTAAATTGTCTGCCATTTATGCCAGCTGGCGGGAGGTTCTTGCTCGGCCTGAATTACCGCTGGACCTGGAATCCGACTTCTTCGCCGTCGGTGGTGACCTTGTCTCGATCGCGTTGTTGACCGCCTTCTGGCAGCGCCAGGGACATCGGGTTGCTGTCGAGGATCTCTGGGACAACTCGCAAGTCCGTGAAATGCTGGAGTTCTTGGTCCAGTCGCATCTCTAATTTTGGTTGTCTTAGAATTTTGGTAGTTTCTCTTAGTAGCTTTTTTTTTTTCCTCTACACGGCACAGCATTCAGTTGGTGTAAACTGGCCATCTTTGCTATATTTCTTGGAAAAATCTACATGTCGTTTGGTTTTAAGGTCGATGTACGTTCTAGTTTGCTCTCTGTTTTTCTAGTCATTTCAATTGGTTGATATAATTGATTACAAAATTAAAATCAATCTTTTGTAGAAACATGCAGAGATATACAAATTAAAATGCAGTATATCGGGACATGTCCGCTGTGTGAAACACCATGTCGAAAATCTTGTCAAGAATTTCACCACTTTTACCCATTTGCGAACAGTTTTCTAGACTGATCCAAACGTTTAGGTAACTACGCCTCGAGCGCGAAATTTGACTGAAACACGGCTACCTAAATAGCCTAGTCAGAATAGCGTGCAAAATAGCTGGAATCCGACTGCCTAAACGATTCGCAAAGGTCGTACTTACTATTATGTTTTAGTTGCGATTTGAAATCCCTCTATATAAAATGACAGAGAATGAAATGACCGAATCATCACACTCCAATCCTCGATCTCTTTCCTTCCAGTGTGTTGCGACTAAAATGCATCTCCCAGTCGATCCACAGTTGACACTTCCTGACCTACTGGTGATGAAAGAGCTGCTCAGTCAAAACGAATTAGATCATGAGCACATTAGCAGCAGTAAAGACACCGTTCAGAGGCTGAAGTCTCTCAATGACCCCTCTGACGCCAATTTCGACCCCACGGTCTTCCAATTTTGGGAGACACATCTGCTGCGGGAGAAGCTGCCCCATCCCATCCGACAGTACATATTGGAGCCGTATATTCGCTGGGCACAGCGTATAGTGCGCTTTCCAACCGATGTGGTGATGCTCACGCACCTCCTACTTTACCTCACCACCTCCATCCCCAGCGCGCTGTGCCTCTACCGCTACCACTTTAGTTGGATCCATGGCCTTCTCCACTGGATCGTGCACGTATGGTATGCGGGCAGCTACACGCTCATGAAGCATCAGTACGTGCACATGAACGGCGTCTTGGCACCTAGATATCGCCTCATCGACCTCCTCTTTCCATACATCGTTGATCCATTGGTGGGTCACACGTGGAATTCATACTACTACCACCACATCAAGATGCACCATGTCGAGGGCAATGGGCCCTTGGATCTCAACTCCACCATGTGGTACGATCGAGACTCCATCGCCGATTTCGCTCGCTATGTGGGCCGGTTCTTTTTTTTCGTCTCGCTGGAGCTGCCGCTGTACTTTCTTCGAAAGGGCAAGTATTCCACTTCGCTGAAGACCGCTTTCTGGGAGTTCAGTAACTACCTGGCCATTTTTCTGCTGTACCGCTACGGTCATGCACAGGCCACGATCTGCGTCTTTCTTTTACCCCTTTGGACACTCCGTGCGGGACTAATGGCAGGTAACTGGGGCCAGCACGCCTTTGTGGATCCCCATGACCCCTCATCGGATTTCCGATCTAGCATCACCTTGATCGATGTCGCCGTGAGTTTTCACTCGTTGTAGTGCATTTCAACCGGACTGCCGGAACTGAACTGAAATTTTGCACAGAGTAATCGCTTCTGCTTTAACGACGGTTATCACACATCACACCATCTGCATCCCCGGCGCCATTGGAGGGAACATCCAGTGGCGTTTTTGCGGGACCAGGAACGCTATTCGGACGAGCGGGCGCTGGTGTTTCACAATGTGGATTACCTCATGCTGACCTTGAACCTTCTGCGGAAGAACTATACACACCTCGCCCAATGCATGATCCCAGTTGGCGCTGAGCAGAGAGCGATGAGTCTTAAGGAGCGCGCAGAATTGTTGCGCAGTCGGACCCGAAGATTTCCCGACCAGGTTTTGGAACGGAACGGCGCATCTAAGCGGCGGTAACGCTAATGGAAGGGTCGGACCGGGGTGGAAATGAGACTTCGTTATCGGTGTAAAGTGGCTCTCAACGGCAGTTAGGAGGCGCAGTTCCGGCCTTGAGTTTTAAAAAGTGAATGGCGTCAAGAGATCTGAGTAGTGGAAAAATGTTTTTGTGGAGATTAGGCGGCGCCACGAGATTTTTGAAAAAAGGACTGTTGTCCAGATAGGAATGTAAGCAACCAGTTAAGCAACGTGCTTCCCCGGGTGGATCCCGGGAAATGCTTAACCTTGTGTAAATTACAATACTCCAGGCAGAACCAACTGCCTTATACATTACAGAAAAAATACCGAAGGGGAAAAATTCACTGTCTTACGCTAATTATGTGAAACAATACGAACCTGAACGGTAAATACTTGCATATGTACGGGAATACTAGTACATAGCACTCTATGCAGGCTCATCTCTTAAGACATCTTGCCCTTAGCGCTGACATGCTTCCAAGGTTCCCAACGTTGCAATTTTCGGTAAAACTAATCATTCCGTACTTGATTATCAACCCAGTGGAATTTTGGTCATTAGACTGATCTATGGGGAGTAGTAATCGCAATTTACAGCACACTACAGAGTACTCTGTACCAAGCAACCAGCAGGCACAGGTAGCCGGAGTCCACAACAGTACTAGCTAATTAAACCTCCCGTAGAGTTTCAGAAGATTGGTTAGAGACGGTTGTCGCGTCGTAGAGACCTCGGAACCGACTGGGAGGATTCCGAGCTAGGAGTTCGCCCGGAGGGCCCAATTCGACAATGGCTCCGTCTGATACCACGGCAACGCGGTCAGAATCCAGAATGGTAGAGATGCGATGGGCAATTGTCAGAACAGTGCGGGAGGCAAAGTGGCGACGAATAATCTTTTGCATCGCTTGGTCCGTCTCCTGATCCACACTGGCTGTGACCTCGTCCAAAACTACCACCGAGCCAGGACGGATCATGGCCCGAGCCAGACACAGCAATTGTTGCTGCCCAACGCTGAATATGCCCTCCGAGAGTTGGGCGTGAATTCCGCCTCGCGAGGCCACCGTGTCCCAAAGATGTACCTCCTTGAGCGCTAGTTCGATCGCCTTGTCATCGGATGTTGCGCCGAGGGGGTCGACATTCTCGCGAATCGAGCCCGCAATGAGATGGGGGGACTGTGTGACGCAGATTAGCCGCCTATATAGCGTCTCGCGAGTCACAGTTGAGATATCGACATCGTCTATAGTAATTGTCCCCTTGGACGGGATGAGGAGACGGAACAGGCTGGTAGCGAGGGATGATTTACCGCTGTAGCACGCACAGTTAGTAAGCCAATCAGTGATCTATAGAGACAGTGAGAAAGGGATGTTACCTTCCTGTAGCCCCACAAAGGGCGATCTTCTCCCCTGGCGCAATGGACAAGGTGAGATTTCGAATCACCGGATGAGGGGAGCCTTCATATTGCGCTGTCACATTTTGGAACTGTATCCGACCTTTCTCAGGCCATCCTATAGGAAGAGTACTCTCCGTTCCATCGGTACTCGGCAACGGGACATCTAGAGTAAATGCCCGAATACGAGATACCGCACCGATGGAGATCTCCAGATTGGTCCAGTTGGAGAGGAAGGCCTTGATACTGATACTTAACTGCACAATGTTCACCAACGCGATGCCCATGAACCCGGCGTCAACCTGTCCCTTGGTGCACACGCCTATGGTCACAACCATGATGGCCACTGCTGCCACCACCAGATCCAGCACAAGATTTAACCAGCGCTGCACACAGTAGAGCAGATAGAATGGTTTTTGAGAGCGATCAAAAACCTCGCGATTGCGGTGGCCAAAGTCTGCTTGCCATCCAAATGCCCGGATAGTCGTCAGACCGGAAATTAGCTCGAGAAATGTGGAAAACAGTGGCGCTTTTGCTTCAATATCGAGCAGTCGAAGTTGGCGGGCAGTACGCAAGTAGAACTTCTGAATCGTGTAGAAGACCGCTAGCAGTGCTGGCAGAGCAATACCGATCCATTTGGAGGTGATTGCAATGATAATCAGGTTGGCTACACAGAGCAGTAATTCCACCGTAGTGTTGAAAAGTGCTAGCGGTAGTTCCATATCTGACAACTGTAGATCCTGTGCGAAGCGATTCAGAGTTGTGCCGACGTCAGTAGTCGAGAAGAATTGCAACGGTGCTTGAAGGACGGTCGTCAGAAGAGAGGCATGCAGTTGTATTGAGGCCCGTGGCAGCATCCGTTCAGTGAGATGCCTAGCAATTTTAGTTAGGGTGAATAGCTCTGACGGACAGGGAGCAGGGAATAGGGTTGGGGATGCTCATACCAGACTGCGACAGGGAGCGATAGAATGGCCATTGCGGATAGACCACCGCATGTACCGAGATACGTTCCCATGTGGGTGACGGTATACTGGTCACCCCGCTCCAACCACCATTTAACCATAAATTCTGCAAGGAGGATCCATCAATGGGAGATCAAAATGTTGAGGCCAATTGAACTTACGGGGTAGGGTAAGTCCCAGAACGAAGAGAGTGCAGGCAGCGAAAAAGATCGATGCACTGAAAGGATGAACAGTCTGGATGTAGTATTTGTAGACAGCTGTGTCACCGGTCCGTCGAGCTTGCCCTGTCGGCCCTTCCTCTACCGACTGCATTCTGGAGATATCCGGCCCGGAATCAAGAGATGGCCCGGCACTTTGATCCTTCTTCGAGGCGCTATACACCATTTCTTTGGCAATTGCGATGACCTTGCTGGAAGCACCTTCGTCTGCAATGTGACCCTCTGAGTCCAAAATGATGATCTGATCCGCATAAGCGAGACGTTGAACTGTTTCGGTCAGTCTTTTCTGGATCACATGAGCAATTTAACGGTCGTACTGACCGGCATGGGTCGCTATTATGACGGTGGTCTCTGTCTCCCTCAGAAGCCCACCTGGCCCGAACAGGTTATCCAAAAGGTGCTCCTCCGTCTTTCCGTCAAGCCCACTGAAGACGTCGTCGAGAAGAAGAAGCTTTTCCCTGGCGTAGACTGCACGTGCAATTGCCTGTAAGCGTGGTCAGTATGTAGCAAACATGCAATTGTGTGTTCTACTTACCAATCGAGACTTTTGACCACCACTCAGAGTCATACCGCTGTTCCCGACCCATTCTTGATCCCCGCGAGGAAATCCGTCAATGTCATCTTGGAGCAGACACATTCCCACCACTTTGTCATACCACGGCTGGTTATATACACTGGTACCTAGAATATTGTGTCTAATGGTGGCATTTGTGATCCACGGTGTCTGACTGCAGTAGCCTACGCGAGGAACGACCACTTCCAGCCGGCCATTGTAATAACTCACTTCCCCCAGAATGGCCAGTAACAGTGTGGTCTTACCACAGGCCACTGGGCCAACCACGAAGTTGATACTAGACGGCCGAATCTCGAAATTCAGATCCTTCAGGACCATAGGTCTTTCAGGGTCCCAGCCAGCACTGTATCCCTGAGCTTTAACCATTTCAGGTTCCGCTTTTTCATCTTTAAATGCACATGGGAGGGCAAGTGGACTGCACAATCGGCTACCGTCACCGGACGTCGCGGTGGGCTTCGATAAATAATCACCAACGCGATCCACGGCACCTAAAGCGCTGGCCAGCCCTGCGATTGCATCTAGAATGAGGGCCATGGGTGACTGCAAGAGTGCAAAGAGGGATAAGGCAGTGTAGGCCTTGTCGTAGTTTAGCATGGTAGAGCCATTTCGTTTCGCCAACAGGCTGTACATTGTGAAGGCTAGGAGTGGGCCAGACGACGTTGTGGTATAGGCTACCCAACCAATCAGCAATCTGCGCGGGGTAGAATCCACACGGTCGGTGTGGTGGGACTCACAAAAAGTGACAATCAGAGTCAAAGCTCGCTTGAATGGGGTTGACTGGGACACCTCCTTAGCCCGCAGAACCCGGAGCTTTTCGGCCATCAACTCCTGCAAGCCACCCAGTCTTATCTCTTTCATGTTCTTCAGCATTTCCGAGGTAGACTGCACTCTGTTCTGGATGGCCTGTAGCCAACGCTGCTGCCGTTCCCCCATGGTGGTCGCCACCCCAAGTCCAAGGAGAGTACACACTAGGAGCCTTTGATGTTAGCAAAATAGAACCTGCTAGTTTGGTCCTATACATCAATGGCCCTTACATATAAATATGGAGGCAAATGCGACGACGGCTAGACCCAGTTGCCTCTCTAGCAACCACAGGGCGAGCCCGATGTCAATGGGGCTAGCCCAGACTTCATGAACATACTGCAGGCCAGAGCTAATGCGCTCTACATCCACGCTCATCAAGGTCAATGCAGCTGAGTCCCGTGCGATACCAACATCCAAGCGCATTGTGTGTCTATACACCAATGGCACAAGGCTGCCACGAATCATCGTGATCAAACGATATGCTTTGTGCTGACTACCGGCTGTGGTGATAGCCAGACCCAAGTAGATAATCATGGTGGCAATGATCAGGCCATATCCGTCATTCTGGCTAAGAGGCCCATTATCCTGAGAGACAAAACTTACCACGCGCGTAAGGAGGAATGGCTGAGCAAACGTAAACCCCGTCAAACAAAGACGCGGGAGAAAGGCTGAGGCAATGGCCCATCGATGATGGACCATCAAGAGCATGGTCAAGGCGGAGGAAGACTTGGACTGCACTGTATTATCCGACAAGAGAAATGGTCAGTTTTTTTTTGGGGGGGGGGGGTCCACGACCGGAGTCAATAGCAAAGATGGAAGCTCAACATACCAGCATCCCATTTTTGCATGAATAAGTCACCATCCTCTGCATTGTTGACACGTGCATCAATGCTGAGAAGTTGATCGGCTTCAAGGACGTCTCGAAACCCTTTGATCAACAGTGGATTTAACCACCAGAACATGCTCCGATTGAATACATTCGCAAATGTTTCTCGTGGCCATTTCGTGGGGTTTTCAGTGACAGATTCTCTCTGTTCGACTGACTCTAGCAGGAGCTTGATGAGGTCCAGTCCGAGGTTAGCGATGAAGACGGCACCGAACGAATGAGTCTGCACCGCCCAAATTGTTCGGGCCCGGACTGCATTCAGAGGCAGCGACAGGCTCAGAAAGAGGAGCAGCAGGGTTGACGGCCGGGGGGAACGATAATGCTGGCTGTATGACACACTGATCATAGACAGCGCCGTAATGGCATCAAGACACACAGCCGTAACTGTGGTCCTTGTCTTCGGAATCTGTAGCTGTGGGAGAAGCACCAACACCAATAGTGTAATTTTAACGCAGGTCGACCACACATGGGCGATCTAGACGATTGGAGTCAGTTCCAAAAGGAGGTGGGGGGGGGGGGGAGGATGGAAGAGGCTGGTATACCAGTTTCCCGGGAAATAGTAGCCGCCCCCGAGTCAATGGAGCGCTGCAACTTCGGCGGTAAAGATGCAGCGGCAGATAGAGCAGAAAGAGCGCACAAGGTAGAATAGTAAAGAAAGTCTCTTCGAAAAGCAGGGTGAAGTCAAAGCCATTGTGACAATGAGGGCCCATAGTAGGACCAAAAACGTTCTCAGCAGCAATATCACACATTGTTGCCTAATTCCCCCATTTCCTTTCGCCTTTCCAAAAATCCAAGAAAGTGGCAGGGAAGCGGGTTTTAGCCTGCAGAAGGCCTGGCCCAAGTGAAGAGGCAATTTGAAGGTGACATGTGCTAGTAAGGTCTGTACATGGTGGGTATCAACTAGACCAGATATAGAATAACCCTGTATACTTTCATAACACCGGAGTCAACCTGGAGTCAACCTGGAGTCTGACTAGAGGGCTGGAGTTGGGCTATTTTTAACTGGCTCCTGGGCCCTCTCTTACTCGTCTCATCATATTTTCTCTTTTCCAAGGCAACCATAATCGCATGGGGGTTTTTTTGGGATTTCTCCAGGCATCAGAAATTGATTTAAACCAACGACTTGGGGCGCTGTTTTTTGCTTTTGAAATGTTTTTAACTATCTCAATCTTTACACTTGTGTATCACTTTTTTTTGGGAGACATTGGGATCTGATCCATTCCTTTCATTTTGCAAATTATTCTGTCGTATTCTTTCGTGCAATCATGCGATTTCCGATTTCGGGGTTGCTCTTTGTGGTGATGTCGGCTATCGTGGCCCGGGCATCCCCGGTTCAAACTGCTATGCCACAGCCTGGAGTAGTCCCGCGAGGGGTCACCACCACTACGGCGACAACCTCGCAGACCACCACTACAGCGACCACTACGACAAGCGATGATTTCGAAATTTCGTTGAGCCTCGACTTGCCCTCCGACACATGTACCCCTACTATAAAGCCCGATAAGTATGGCTGGGTCCCGGCCACGGAGTGCGATGCCTTGTACCTCTACTACCCGTCTTTTTCGGCCGCCATTGCTGCCGCCGCGATTTTTGGGATCCTCTTCATGGCCCACTTTGTCCAGGCCACTATGTACAAGGCGGGTTTTGCCTGGGTCATTCTCATGGGGGTCTCGTGGGAGACCGTAGCTTACGCGGTCCGCGCCTTCAGCACTCATAATCAGCAAAATGACACTGTTGTGACTGTTGCTCAACTATTTATCCTTTTGGCTCCATTATGTACGATCCTGAACTCTTTGACCTGCAACCCCTCCCCCCTCACTGGACGATACTTATTCTGATGACAGGGGTCAACGCATTCGACTACATGGTTCTGGCACGGATGATCCATTTCTTCCTTCCCGCGCGTCGCATCGGCATGTTCAAACCCTCCTTACTAGCCAAGTCATTTGTCTTGCTCGACTTTGGCTCGTTCGTTGTTCAAATGATCGGTGGCTTAATGGCCACTGGCACGAACCAGCAGCAAATGAACGGCATCCACATCTACATGGCTGGCATCGGCGTCCAGCAATTATTCATCGTGTGCTTTTTGGTGCTGGCCGTGCAGTTCCAACGATCAATGGCGCAGTTAGAGCGGGCCGGCCAACTACCTTTCGAGAAGCAGAACTGGCGTCGACTGCTCTATGCCCTGTATCTGAGCCTAATCGCTATCACAGTGCGCATCATATACCGCATGATTGAATTTTCCGCCGGGTATGGGGAGTCAAATCCCATCCCATACCATGAGTGGTATATGTATGTCTTTGATGGTATTCCTATGGCCTTGGCTATCCTCATCTGGAACTTGGCGCCGCCGGGTGCCGTGTTGCAGGGTCCAGATGCGAATATTCCCTCCAGTGGCATTGGCAGGTGGCTCTGCTGCTACGGCTGTGCCTGTTGCTGTCGAAGCTGCCGGAAAGGAGCCAAAGAAAAGAAGAATATGCGACGACTATCCGATCGTGACATATATGGCGACAATGTGCCACTACACAGTCGAGAGCCATCACCTTACCGCGATTCAAATTTCAACACCCGTCGCTGAGTTGGCGTTTTTTTTTGGCTATTTTCATGGGTCATTTTTCATGTACATAGAATTGAACTGCGTTCTACAATCACTTTCACTTTCGCCTTGTTTGCCTTCTTTTGTTGTCCATTTTTCTCTTGATCATGCACGCATTTGAAGAAAAAGGCATAGGGACCGTGTGTTCCATGAGAGTGGCTCTCGGACTTGCTATACAGACTTTGCATATACCCCATTGCTCGTGTACGTTTAACTTGACAAATTAACAGACTGAGACGAATTAAAGAAATCTCCCCGAATACTAAAAAAAAAAAAAACCGAATCTTCTACAAATCACTGTAATTTCCCAGAATTGATGAACTCGCATCACCAAAATTTGACATCAGCGAATCCAAAGAACCAAAGAACCCTAGCAATTCCGACCCTGGCTTTCTCAAGTTGTCGTAAATATCCCGCGGATCTGCCTCTGCAGGGGCGGATGGGTACAGACCCACGCACTGCAGAACCTCCTCCGGTGGCGCCGTTCGACGTCCATCTTTAAACACATATCGAGTCACTGCGACAGCCAGAATAGCTTTCTGTGGGTCCAATCCCTCCTTAGCCTGCTCCCGCTTTTGCAAGTCTCTCATCACGCTCTGGTGTGTTCCCGCCCTGACGAAATAGCTCACCATCACCAACCACTTTGCATCCCACGACAACACACGCGACCAAACCTCATATCGCTGCAAGGGTTTGATCTCGCGCTTGAAAATACACGATGTTCCACCCAGCGCGATACTCACGGTGTTCTCTCGCTTCTTCGTCTTCCCGGCATCAGTGGCTGAATCGGTTGTAGGTGCCCAGCGTGGCAGACGTGGGAAAAGGCTCAAGAGCAATTGTGCTCGATTAACATCCAGATCGGAAAAAAAAGTGCTGTTCGACTTGTGCATGTTGTAGTCACATTCCATTAGGGCGTTCTGATGTGTGGTGACCAGGTATGAGAAGAGAAGAGGAATTCCTCCAGATTGATCATCGATGAGAATGCCATTCGCATCGATCCGACGAGGAAAAAATCGAGACCCGAGGAATTGGGTGGAAAGGCCTTTCAGTACTCGCAACTGGAAATGCAAAGGATAACGGGTCAGCAGAGTATCAATCTAACAAAGAACATCTTTCTAAAGGCGGGTTGATTCCTTTCACCTACATGCCATACACCTGGAAGTGTTTTCAGGTTGATCAACACTGCGCCTGTGATGACCGCGAGGAGTACATACTGCGTATACCCCTCATACGCTCCTCCCAGAGTGCTTAAAACCGACATGATGATCTTATCGCCTCTCTTGGAATGTCGCAATTGCGAAGACCACCACAAAGAAAAGAAAAAAAAAAGACCTTTGCCGAGGGTGTATATCAAATTGGTTTGACGCTTCGCCTTTGCTCTCAAGACTCGGCAAACCTCCGGTCCCAAACGAAGCGCTTTGTTTGCATTCAAGCTGCACGCTGATAATGGCGTTGCTAATACCAAAGTACTTGGTGTATGTGTATTGCTCGTAATACATGTATGTACAGCGTCGAGGAACAAATTTCAACATTAATTACACGAGGAGTGGGTACGGTATTGTAACCCGTATCTGGGAAACTAATTATACAGAGTGTATTATACCTCCGGGCCAAGAAAGGATGTGTGGGAAGGTGGGTAGGTGACACGTTAGTGTGGTATACATCGTCCTTCTAAGATTACTAGCAGTTCTCGGTGCTGATGTGATGATATGTGAGGATGGATGTCCTCATGTAAACCCCACCAATGGTCTTCTCTCCTACCACAATCATCAAATTTAGGGAAAGCAGATGGTCAGAAAATAGAACCAAGTCCGACAATATACGAACTTGAAATCCCTTCACGACTTGGGGTGACTTCCTGGGTTACATCTGGTGACCATCATGCTCTGGAGTCCACTTGACATAGGTCGACAAGCTGGTGAGCAATCCGACCGTGTCGTATCTCGTGGTTCGAAATCTAACATCGGAATGAATTGGAAGTAACCGGTGGTCCAGCCCTCGATCCGCTGGTCTGCCATGCCAATACCGCCACTGTGGCATACTATCACCACTCTACAGCTCTACCACTCGAGTCACTGCAGCCATTGGTCTATAAGGCTCTGTCACGAGTCATACTACAACTTTCCGGGATGGAGCCGGTCTTCCAGTACAATGTGCAATTTATTCAGCTGCGGGATGGCCGAAACGACGAGGTGGACAGGCTGGTGGAGGAACAACAAAACCTCAAGTTCGCGCAACCACATGACAAGTTGCCATGCTGGCGTCTGATTATAGCATACACAGCTGGGCGAAGTAGCGTGTCTGATATAGTAGCTTGCTGTGTGGTAGGTGAACCCGCCAGGGATCAATTGTGTGCGATGGACTTCCATCGATCATTCTTGGCTGCATTGTTGCTAGTCAACAAGGCAGAATTATCGAAATCACCATCGGAATACCCGACTGCCAAATATTCAAAAAGACTGCGTGGTTTTTCTACATCACAGCAGGGAAAGCAACCCAGCCACTCTCGGTTTAAAACAGTAATACTTGGAACCACGGACACCGCCAAGCTCCTGATAGATTGCTCTGCCAGCAAAACGGATCTCACTTGCGTCATGCAAGCGATAATCGCGGCGTCGCTGTTTGCCAACTTGCCCTTAGAATTCACCACTTTGTGCACTGCGGGCCAGATATCGCACAGTGGCACCATTGGGAATTCAATCCGCATGCCCTGCTCCAGATACATCACGACACATAACAGAGCACAGGGGTGGCATATGAATTCCATCTGGAGCGAGGCTCGGCGCATCCACACGGCCTTCAAGGCCGAACTTGGGGGAAAGGTGAAAAGCAACAGTCTAAGAGGCTTTCTTCGGCGCGAGGGGGGTTATTTATTGTGCAACACTAAAGAAACTAGGGAGACTAGTGGGGTCAGCGTTGCAGTATCCAGTATAGGAAGATTCCAGAATTCAAAATCCTCCGTGTCCGAAAGACAGCAAGAATGGCAGTTAGGGCGGATGATGTCCAGCAATGATAATCATGAAACTGGTGCTGCTCTGTCTATCACACTAGTTGTCGGGGGAGATGAGTGTTTGACAATAGGGTTTTCTTGGTTAGAGGGAGACATCGAGGACGTTTGGCTTGATCGGGTCATCGACACTATGAGAAGGCTGATTGAGGAGCTTTTGCACACCAGCGGCGCCACGAAAATAGAGATAGTTCCCTGGGGGGGCTCTGTGTCTCGGCTTGTCTGTGTGTTGAGGGACCTCACGTTGGAGTAACATTCCTGACACCAAATCATCTCAATTGCCCTGGCGGCTTTTTCAAAACAGCAGTATCAAAAAGCGAAGTAGAAGACTTGCCAAAAAAAAAATTCGTGAAAGCCCTCAAAGAACTTCCAGTTTTTTCCAGGGTTGTATTGGGGCCAACGCCAAATTCGCTAGCAGCAATCTACAAGTTCAGCCAAAACCATATTCGTATATTTAGTTACTTCCGTACTATTCTCAGCACTCGTACAATACAAGGAAAGAAATTCGGTTTCGGGGTAAACCACGTTAGATTTACTAGCCAAAGCATCAAGCCTACAGCATGACGATACCGACACCTCCCATCTCCGACTCATCGGGCAAATTTTTGTCGTTAATTCCACCACCAATAGGCGCAGCACGGTAATTATATAGGTAGAAGTGGAGTTGACCATCACCAGCACCGAACTTGAGATCCTCGAGGAAGAGGGGGTTGTCGTGCGAGGTGAGAGCATTGAAGACGTCGAAACGAGCCTATTACAAATTGAAAATGCGAGGTTAGCTTATATAATCAGATGCAACACACTACCACATACGTTCTTTGCGCAAATCAAGGCATCCTTCACCAAGAGCTGCAAGCGCTCCTTCAAAGCCTGCTTGTCGTCGGAGAACGCGGTCTCGGTCGCGTAGTAGTACAGGTATGCGGCGTGGACGGCATCATGCTTCGGATTGTCGATCACGGTAGACTCGAGATTGTAGAACGAGACGAAGTCGGTGATTTTGTGAGTTTCCGGGTCTTCGGCAACGTAGGACCAGACAACCTGGTCCTTGTCGGGCTGCTGCTTGTGCACCAGCCAGTGGTCGATTTCTTCCCGTGTAAAGGCCTGGTTCAAATCAAAGCGCCGCATGTATCGCTCCAGCAGATCATAGACAGCATCGATGTCCTTGGATTCCATGGGCCTTAGACCGGGGGTCGATGTCTCGCTAGGGAGATGATTCCTAGTGACCTGTCGGGCCTTGGTCGAACCATGTGGCAGAGGCGAGAAGCCAACATCGTAGAGCTTAAGCCAATCCAGAGAACGGTGGTAGTATCGACAAGAGCTAACGGGTGTGGGTAGGATAATACCACCAGTATAGATGGCCTGGTATATACCCCTTAGGTAGCAGCGGCGGGTGATCTCCTTGATCAGAACGGGGGTTAGGCGCTTGGAGCGGAGCTTCTTATGGATACATAGGAAGTTGATCTCCGTCACCTTGAGGCGCTCGCCGCGGACGCGGAGTTCAGTCGGGACACCGCAGATAGATGCAACCAGTTTGCGCGACTTAGTGGCGCGCACACCCACATGCCACTCCTTCTTCCACCCAGGAGACATCAGAGCCCTGTTTATGTAGCATTAGCGTTCTGAAATGGGCACAAAAGTTTAAGACTCCATCGTACCAATGTAGGAACGACTCTGAGTAGTTGAAGCGGAACATGGCGTTATCATCCTCGACGTAATGCTTATTCAGGAGCTCATAGAGCTCCTTCAGCTCCTCTTCGTTCGTCAAGTCAAGAGTGCACCACTCGAATCCGTCAATGAGCGCATCGGGAGTCTTGGAAACCTTCTCTGGGTCGATAACCTTGATCGGTCCTTGTGCAATCTGCTTCTTTCCAGCCTCTTCAAAGGCAGGCACTGGCTGTGTTTGCCAAAACTTGTATGAGGCCATATCCTTCTGGTTCTTACCTCCGACGGCCAATCCAGTCAGCATCTGCGAGAGGTCCATGTTGTGCAATAAGGCCGCAGCCTGGTCCTTATCCATCGCAGCTAACTCGTTCTTCAGGGCCGGATTTTGTTCGAGGAGCAAGGAAGCGAACTTCGCGGGAAGCTTCTTTCCTGCTTCTAGAATTCGAATGTCAACAGCTGCGCTTCTGGGGGTCAATGTCCTTGGTACCCAGTTGGGTGGACAGAGGGACCTACCATTACCTGAGTCGGATGGAGCTCCCTCATTTTCATTGTGCTTGGGGGTCTTGCCCTTTTTTTCGCTGGAATCCGACATAATGTGTTGTTGGGGGTGTGGTGGAAAAAGGAATTGGATTGGGCCCCACGTTTCAAACACGCCGGGATCTCTGGTGGGGGTTCTGCGGATGACTGAATAATAATGCGATATTGGGTTGCGCTCGGCACAGCTCGTTATGCAAGCTATTTATGAGGGAAAAGCTCCGTACTTGTGGACTAATCATTACGGACACGTTTCACCTTGCACGGAGTCCGTTTTACCTTGCTCGGAGTCCATAATACTCCACTAAGAAGAGTGAAGACCCCGCTCAACGATGAACTCTTAGTGGCCTACATCCGGAACCTCGGTATTCACATATGCAAAGCCCATGCGGATGAAGCACGTACAGGGGTTCAAATTTGGTATCATTTAAATGCATTGTAAGCTGGGAAAAATTTTTGGAAAATCGAAGAACTGTTAAAATCCAAGCAAAAACACCTTTTATGTGCGTTGTTTGCTGAGCCAGAAGCATATCTCAAGTTTTGATCAATTATGCAAGAGTCATCAGAGCTCCAGGCTACCAATAATTGAGAAATCACGCATTGATAGGTGGTTTTGTCTCTACCACGTCGAGGAATCCTCCCACCAAATGGATACTGCCAGTGACAAAAGTCATAACCGGAGTTTCGTCCTTGTGCAGGACCTTGCGTTCCTGGTCCGCAACTTCACGCGCAAAATCAACAGCCTCTTCAATTGTACCAAAAACATGTGTTTGAGCGAGAGGGTCAATAGCATTCCACTCTACCGCAAGAGATTTTTGGACTCGAAGACGTTCGAGGTCGTCAGCGTTGGTGTTCATACTGACCAAGTCGGGTCGGAAGCCCGCCTCTTTGTAGGTGATGTTCGTGCAGAATAGGGCGTGAGTGAAAGGGTTGTCGTTGCCAAGGGCAGAGGCGAGGGTCTCATGGAGAGCACGAGCAAGAGCTGTGCTGTTACGAGTCTGTTGGTTGAAAATCAAAATGCGTGTCTTCGTGGCGGCTACATCTTCTGACGATGAGTCGGCCTTGATCCGTGAAGCAAACCACTGGCCAGCAAGCCTAATGCTCTCCAAAGTGTGCCCGCCATCGATATACCAGGAGACATTCTTCTCAAAGCGAGTCTCACACCTGCCACCTAGGCGAGTCTCCTCGAGCCCGGTCTTAAACTTCGCCGGTAGGGGTGCTCTCATAATTTTTTCTGGAACATCGATTTCGATCTGGCGCAAGAAATTCGCGGCGGCTGCCACTGCCACTGAGGCGTTGGTGTACTGGAAGTCTCCAGCCAACCCAAGGGTAATCTTGCTGTTCTCGGGGTGAAGCTCAGGATGACCAGTCACAATTTCTAACTGAGATTCAGCCTCCTCGGCCCGTTTGACCAAAACCTGTTCCGCACTCGCAGGTTGGGGTGCCGCGAACCCATTAACGCCACGCTTGAGAATGCCACCCTTGTGCCACGCGATTTCCTCAATTGTATGTCCAAGCAAATCAACATGGTCAATGCCAAGACTACTGATCGCTGTGACCTTGGGCTGTGGAATCACGTTGGTACAGTCATATTGACCACCGATTCCACATTCGATCACCGCAGCGTCCACGCCCTCGCTCAGGTAGGTATGGAAGGCCATCACGGTCAAGTATCGAAAGTACTGTGGCTTTGTCCCAGGTTCAGAGGGATCCTGGCCGGCCAGCTTAGCAGAGTGCTCAAGACGATCCCATACTTCGAAGAAATAGCGCGCAAACTGCTCTTCGGACAGTGGGGCATTGTTGATCTTTATGCGTTCACGTGCAAACCGGAGATGCGGGGAGGTGTAAAGGCCGATCTTAAGTTTGGATCCTGGTTGATCTGAATCTTTCCGAGTGTATTGGGAGAGGATTGTGGAAATGAATGCGGAGGTCGAGCCCTTGCCTTTCGTACCGGCAACATGAATTGCGTTCAGCCGATTTAGGTCGGAAGGCTAGAGGGCGGAAAGACCTCACATTAGCTTCAATCACAAGGTATCCAGATCCCTGCCATCAGCTCAGCGCACCTTGTATCCAATGCGCCGCAGCCAGTCCACAGTCTCCGGGAGGGATAGCTCATTCATCTCTTGCCTCGTTTTGGACTTCTTGAACGCCTCAACAATTGCATAGTTGGTTTGCAGTGAGTTGAGAGATGCAATAGCAGCCTATCCATTCCAAAGTCAGCATGCGCTATGTTTTGTCGGAAATGATCCCCTTTCGCAAAGCGCCGAGTGACATACCTCATATGTTCGAGTCATGGTGGGCGAACGAGTCGAAACTCGCCGTTCGCAAGATTGCCAGCGAATAGAGGTCCAAAGGCCTCTCATGAACAACTAATTCCCGCACCGTGAGTCTCCAAATGAGCGGGGTGGTTTAAGAAACCCCGGTGGCTCTCCAAAGACTTGTGATTCTCTCGCAGACATCATCCGCTCTCCTCGGAAACCGATCTCGCACTGATCGGGAATATCACGTGCCTACCACTACATTACTATAGACCAGGTAGAAGTCAAGTTATGCAGTGAGGACTCAGATTCTTAGGTTAAGTAATTTAATATATGGATATAGGTATATAGGTCTTTGAACAAGTATTGGCTAAGCTCCTCGGAATCGTCGAGAATCTAAGCAGCAGGAATAATAGATACCGATTCAAAAATCACGGTAGGCGCAAACAGCTGGAAACTCTCATGATTCCAAGCAAAGAAGCAGTGTGTGAAACAATGATGAAAGAGGATTAGGATTGAATCGACAAGGCAATGAACAAATAAACAGAAAGGAAAATGCCGGCGGGCCTGTAGTGGTGAAACGATCGGTAATAAACGTACAGCCACGAAGTGTGTAGAATGAGAACAAAGGGTTGAAAGAATATCCCAAGAACGCCGTAATGAGTGAAAACGCTACTCAATCCTAGTCTTTCCCTCTTCCAAAAAAACGAGACGGGCATTGCTAATACCACGCTGGTGTCGTCTAGCAGGAAGCCATTTACCAATGATGGGATCAGAGCGTGCTTTAATGAGAGCATCCTGGTACCCCTCAGCACCAGCGACCGGCGTGTTCAGCTTGGGCCAGTTGACCTGACAAAAAAAACAAGGTCAGTGGGAAAATGCTTCAACTTGGTTAGAACGGGAATTAACTTACGTAGAGCATGCCGTGTCCATATACAAAATGGAAACAGTAGACTCCCACCAGTAACCAGAAGATTACAAACAGACGAAGCGGCCAGACAGCAGCATCAGGCATCCGTCTCGTGAAAAGCGCAACCAATACCAAGAACACACTAGCAGCGAGAACATAGGGGACCGACTGGATGACAAGTGGTCGCCGGTCAAGGAACAGCTGGATGTTGGCAAACTTTGAGTCTGATGGGAGATAGGTGCCCAAAAATACGTCAAATCCATCTTGTCGAGGACCGTCCATGAAGTTGTTGCGTACATATCGCGTGATCGAATTGTTCAAATCTTGCAGCATGCCGGCCCGCGTACGTTTGCCAGTCCGAGTGAAATCAGTCTTCAGGGCACCAGTACCAGAATAAGACTTGGAGACCACATCTGCGTTGTCGGCCCAGATATTCCGGAACAGGTTTTCAAACTCCTGGTCATCGTTGGCAGTCTCACCGGGACGGAGAACGCCTGCGTCCATAAGCTGCCGCGTGACCGCCCAGCGGCCAAGCATGCTCTGCACTACATTAGTGCGGTCCAGACAATCCATGCAGTTTGTTCGGACAACACTCGTTTGCGTAGAACGAGTATCCAACTGCCCACCAGGGGCACCTGGACTTTCCATACCACGGAAATAACCGCCCTGTGTCAGCCCGTCGTTCAAGCGGCCCATAAGCAACTCTGCGCGATGCCACTTAAGGCCCTTAGTCTCGTTGTGGAAATCAAAGTACACATAGTGTAGGCGATCCATCTCCTTCTGCTTGAACCCTGGTTCCAAAACATGGATCTTTTCAGACGTGCGTTCATCAGCAACGGTGCTTTCAGATGTGGAAGCGACTAGCGTGCGAACCAGCTGCTCATATGCACGCTTGACATTCTCCTCCCTGCCCTTTTGGTTCACGAGATTGACCATGTAGTTTTCTCCGTAGATGCGAATCTGCTCAGCAAAATGCTTCCGCGCGGCTTCGACGGAAGTCTCGACCTCACGAACCTGAAGCTTCGGTGTGTATTTGAGATCATTAACTTCAGTCCAGAACACGGGGACACTACCTCGAGTTTGTACAAAAGAATAGACTTGAAGGTCTTGCCCAGTTTTGCCACTTGTCATTGATTGACCTCCACCAAACCCAGATAGACCACCCGCCGAGTCATTCAAAATCACAACCTGCTCAGTCTCGTTGTAGTTTGAAACGTTTCCTTGCTCGTCGATTCCACGGGAGAAATATCTTGTTCCGGCCCGGTGCCTAGATCGGCGCGTGATAAGCGCGAAGGTGAAGGTTGTCGACTTCACTCGGGCAGGAGTAATGCGCATCATTCCAAACATTACTGGCAAGATATATGGGTCAGCCCCTGGTTGGGGACCGTAGCGAATTCCACTTGTGTCGTTTGCCCCGAGGCTGAAGTTGATCAAATCGGATTGAATGAAACGATTCCAGAAGAAGCGGTCGTCCGAACCCTTCCACATCGGAACATTAGGAGCATTTTGTGACTGTCGCTGGAAACTATTGGTGATATCTAGCGAGTAGGAAAAGTACATAGGCCCCTTTCGAAGCAGGTCTTTCACCACTGCAAGATAGGCATCTTCGTCGGCATCGTGAAGCGGCCGTTCTCGTATGGGGAGGAATTCCGTTCCGGCGACTTTGTAAACCATATGGCCGCGCAACCGTCCCATGGGCTGGGCTTTGGTGATAACAATGATGTATTTATCTGAGAGCGTCAGCGCAACCTCCTGAGTTCCTATTTGCGAGCGCAATTACCAAGCTTCAACTTGAGGATTCCAAGAATTCCAGCAATACTGGAAATGCGCTTAGCACCTGGAAGGGGGCCATCGTTCAAGCGCAAATCACCAGTTGGTCGGTCAACCACTAAAGTGGGTGCCTGTCGTGATGATGGCGAAGTAAAGACATAGTGGGAGGGCGATGCGTGTAGGTTGATATCCCGAAACGGGAGAATGGGCGTAGCCATGGTTTAGAAACAGAGACCTCCGGAAATCAGTGATTACAAGAGAATGTGAAGAGGAGCATCAAAAGTAAGTTCAGGATTCCCGAGTCCCCAAACAGACAAGGGAAGGAAGGTACAACGTAACAGCGGGCCACTGTGGTCAGTACGCAGCCACACCGCCCCGCTGCTCCTGTGGCTGGGCCTTCCGTCATCTATTCCTGTCTGCCTTAAACTACGAGGTCTTTGAAGTGTCTTGAATCTTTAAAATCCTCGTGCTCCATAGCCTCTGGGCCTTCCATTTTTCTCACTCTCCTACTGATCTTAAGATCTTGGATCACTTATCTCAAGTTCCTTGACTGTTTCGTCTTCCTTCTGCCTACCCTCCTAGACCCTCAATCCTCTCTCCTGATCATGGCTTCCAGGCAAGCAGCAGGAGCCCGCCCGGGCGCAAGATTTGCCCAGTTTAAGCTTGTCCTTCTTGGTATGTTCTGATACTGATCCAATTCTTTTTTAAACTTTGGATCCATAGCTGACAAGCCGTGCTTATAGGAGAGTCCGCTGTTGGAAAGGTTTGGGATACCACTTGCGATCTTCTTTTATCAGCCGCTGACTTGACCGCTATCTTCCAGAGTTCACTAGTCCTCAGATTCGTTAAAGTGAGTCCTCAAAGATCGCCACATTACTTACCGCGGTGACCCGAACGTACATGGAGTAATAAAATGCTAACATCTTGGTTTAGGACCAATTCGATGACTATCGCGAGTCGACGATCGGAGCGGCCTTTCTGACACAGACCATCTCCCTCGATGATACTACCACAGTCAAGTTTGAAATCTGGGATACCGCTGGCCAGGAGCGGTATAAATCGTTGGCCCCGATGTACTATCGCAATGCCAACTGCGCTGTGGTTGTCTATGACATCACTCAAGCTGTACGGTCCTATTTTGCATCATGCCTTTGACTTCATTCTCAGTAAAGAAGCTAACGTTCATCAAATTACCATATAGTCGTCGCTAGACAAAGCCAAATCTTGGGTGAAAGAACTCCAGCGCCAAGCGAATGAGAACATTGTGATCGCCTTAGCAGGCAACAAGCTTGATCTTGTGACTGAGAGCCCTGACAAGCGAGCAATCCAAGAGGCCGATGCTGAGGCCTACGCACGTGAGGCGGGCCTACTTTTCTTTGAAACCTCTGCCAAGTCCTCGACGAATGTCAAGGAGCTATTCACCGCCATCGCCAAGAAACTACCTCTGGATCAGGCCGGTTCTCGTAACTTGCGGGCGACACCTCGCCCCGGCGTTGACTTGCGGCCAGAGGCCCCTGGAACTCAGGGTGCCGGTGCGTGCAATTGTTAAACAATTGCCACCGTCACGTTCTCCCTTAGCCAGTGTGCCCTCGCCTCGCCCACCGTTTGAGAGAAGGCAAAGGGCTACACATCCTAGCATCGTTCAACGGTGGTATTACTCTGTGAATTCCCATGATTTCGCCAATGTCATTTGATCCGATTCTGGCTCATTCCTTACCCGCTACAGATCCGAGGGATAGACTCTCGGTTCATGATCAATCTAACCCTCTCGGATTTTGCTTTGCTTCTTTTGTCCTTGCTCGACCTGTTCAACTGAGGCCTCATAAGTCCCCCGTTGGGAGAAGGATTTAACTTCCATGGAACTCCATGGAATTTGGCTTTAGATAAGCTGCAGCTGGATTTGTCGGTGCTTCGACGGTACTGTTCCTTCTGTACTCCTTTTTCCTTCCCACCTGGCGTCTGCATCTTCTTTTTTTCTTTCTTTCACCCTATGTCTTGGGCTGAAATCCTGATATTCCCGTTACCCTTGTTCCTCTCAGAATTCTTAGTATGTTATGCTCAAATAATACATTTTCCTCACCCGTTTGTACAGTGGAGACCTACAATATGTCAGTGGCTTAAGTAGACCAAAGAGGTGTATGGAATTTGTCTACCTTGCTGCTGAGCACAGTCAACAGGTGCAAGTCATATGGCGCTTTATTTTCGGATCCCTGTGTGTTGTGTCGATTTGCTCCTCGGTTGATATTCAGAAATGACCTCTCCCCTCCCTAACAGATAAACAGTAGCTAGTATCCGGAAAAATCTGTTCCTATACTTATCATTTCTTAAGTGACAATTTTATTCACGTCTTAATTTTCACTGAATCCAAACCCTAGCTACTTCTCTGATATCAGTGTGCACGGAAGTGGGCATGCGCAGTCACCCTGACCGCCCGCAGGATTGTCGGGGCGGATTGCAACTGAGCAACGAAGTTCCCGTTTTTCTACTCATCCATCTTTCTGATCACCTTTAGCCACTCATTTTGGCGATTGTGCGGCTCGTCATGCTGCGCTCCTTGATTGCTCCGGGTCGGCAATTGCTGTCGAACCCTGTCCGCCAACGGATTCCGTCGCAATGGCTGTCCAGAGCTGGTGCAAGCAACCGGCTGGCAGGTCAGGTAAAGAGAACCACATCCCAAGCTTTCTTATATCTTTGTACTCACAATCACCACGCGCAGCGATTCCTCGCCGATTTTAAGCCCCCTACCACCGGCGGTCCGACACCAGTCTCCCCTTCCTCCGAATCCAGTGTTCCTCCAGAGACCATCTTGAAGGCCGCTGAACAAGGTATGACGACCCCCTCGTTCATCAATTACCATCGAGGCCTGGCTCCTCCACATACTAATGTGAAAATTTTGCAGAATCGAAGCTTCCTCCCTCGCCTGCGGCAGCTGCTCCTCGCAAATCCGGCCGTTTCCGTCGGTTCTTGATTTATCTGATCCTCACATCCAGCTTTGCCTATGGTGGCAGCATCTTCCTGGCCCTGAAGTCCGACAACTTCCACGATTTCTTTACGGAGTACATTCCCTACGGCGAAGAATGTGTTCTTTACTTTGAGGAGCGCGACTTCTACCGCCGCTTCCCCAACGCCTTGAGACACCAAAACCGTCTCCCGGCTGCACCCCGAGAGGAGGGGAAATCCGTCACAATTCCTGGCAAGAGCGGTCTGTCTTGGAAGCTTGCTGAAGAAGAGAAGGCCAACGCAGATTCTAAGAAGGCAGCTCACGAGAGCCAAACCAAGTCCGCAACCGCCAAGTCCGAGGATCGAAACGCTACTGTTATAAAGGCCAAGGAAGACACGGCCTTGAAGCACAGCGCCAAGGAAACGAAGTCTGAGTCCGAGTCCAAGGCGAAGAAATCCGCCTCACTGGATGAGCCCAGACAACCCGCTGTTTCTGCGAGCACCATTGAATTGCTTCAGCTACAGCATGGTGATGATACTGTTGTCCAGGATCTGGTCAAGACATTCAACGATATCCTCACCGTGATCAGCGCCGATGACAACTCCAGCAAATTCTCAGCAACTGTCGCCAAGGCCAAGGGCGAGCTGGAGAAGATTGCCGAGAAGATCGCTGCTATTCGCAGCGAGGCTCGCAACACCGCACAGGAGGAGCTTGGCAAGCTCCATGCTACCTTTGATGAATCAGCACTTGAATTGATGCGCCAATTTGAGGAAGTGCGCTCTACTGATCTTGCTTCCTTCCGTGAGGAGTTTGAGGCCGAGCGCGAGAAGCTCGCCCACGCATACCAGAAGAAGGTCAATACCGAGCTCCGCCACGCTCATGAGCTTGCTGAGCAACGTCTTCAGAATGAGCTTGTTGAGCAGGCCATCGAGCTCAACCGCAAGTATGTCCACGAGGTCAAGAGCCTGGTCGAACGCGAGCGTGAGGGTCGTCTGAGCAAGTTGACTGAGCTCACAGCTGACATAAACGAGCTTGAGAAGCTTACAGCTGGATGGAGTGACGTTATCGACACCAATCTCAAGACTCAGCAGCTGCAGGTCGCCCTTGATGCCGTTCGCACTGTCGTTGAGCGTGCTGAGACCCCCCGGCCGTTCGTCCGTGAGCTTGTCGCCGTGAAAGAGCTTGCTGCTGGTGATGCTATTGTTGAGGCTGCCATCGCATCTATCAACCCTACCGCTTACCAGCGTGGTATTCCCTCCAACACTCAGATCTTCGAGCGTTTCCGCCGAGTTGCAAGTGAAGTCCGCAAGGCTAGCCTGCTGCCCGAGGATGCCGGTGTGGCCAGTCACGCTGCTAGCCTTGTCTTGAGCAAGGTCATGTTCAAGAAAGATGCTTTGTCCGAGGGTGATGACGTCGAGAGCATTCTTGTGCGCACTGAGAGCTTGTTGCAGCAGGGCGATGTTGACGCTGCTGCTCGGGAAATGAACACCCTCCAGGGTTGGGCTAAGATTCTCAGCAAGGACTGGTTGGGTGATGTTCGCAAGGTTCTTGAAGTCAGACAGGCTCTCGAAGTAAGTCTTGATTCCACCTTTCGGTTTGGCATTTTTAAACAGACCCACTAACAAATTTTCTTTTACCAGGTCATCGAGGCCGAGGCCCGCCTCCAGTGCTTGCGGGTTGAGTAAGCGCATATTTTGAGCGAAGCTGAATTCAATCCCCCATGCATATCCTCGTCTTTAACAGGAACTGTACCTTTAGTTGTACTTGCGCTATAGACCCAAATGCTAGAACTTTCCCCATGTCCATTGACTCCTCCAAAGCCTGCGGTATTTAGCTTCTGTATTCTAGATCTCACCACATTTTCTGCACCTAAAATAAATCCAGACTAAGTTTGATGCTGAAGTAAGTCTTGCACGGTTTTGTGCCTAGGCGGGTCCACAGCTGCGATTAAAGTGATTATGTAACACTGGCTGATAACGTAACTAACAACGCATTCTGATCTACACGGGGGGGTGGTTACGTTTTGCAGGCTGATCATGCAACATTGCCTCTAAATTCACCTGTATCTAAACCCTTGTTCTTTTGGCTGATAATATTTTTGCTTGTTTCTGGCAAAATCATGTCCGTCTCTTTCCCGAAGGTTGTCATCTAGCATTGTTGCTCTTCCCGCAGCAATGCCGCAACGACCAAACGAGCCCCCTACACGATCTTCATTATCTCCGGCAAAGATGCGACCCCGAGGCCGATCTTCGGCAACTGCGACGTCTTTCATCCGACCCGATGGGGTCCCATTCCGCCAGACCCCTCCCCAAGAGACCGACGACCAAGCGAACGGAGAGTTGGAAGGTACCACACTGGGTGGCGGTTCCCTTGATGGAGATCGAAGGACACCGGGCCGGCGGAGGACCCAGAGCTCAAGTGGCTTCTTGCTTGACTCGTTACCTCGCGTGCGAAGCACTATGGTGAGCTTGCACCGCCCTCGCCCCTTGGAACCTCCCGAAGAGAAGCGCAGCGTTCCCGAACCGGATATTGTGGTCCCCAAGAAACGCTCGCGATTTCCATGGAGCCGGCATAAGCAACACGTACCTGAAGTAACGCTAGATGATGGAAGTTCAAGCCCGATTAGTGCCCAGAAAGCTTCTGCGCCTCCTGACAGACAGCCTTCCGGAAGCTCCTCGCAGCCCGAGGTACCGGAAAACAATGTGGCACATTCTACTCCTGGCCTCGATAGGGACTCAATCCATATCGTGAATCTTGCCTTGAATCTCAATGAGTCTCGGAAAAGAGCAGCCTCTGGAATACCCCCGGGCTCTGAGAGCCGAAGACCAAAATCTGTCTCTCAACCTGCCGTTCCGACAGTAGACGGCTATGCGTATTCCACACTAGCGAGGAATTTCCAGCGTGACTCGCCGTATCCCAATCTTAGTCATGTCTCTGGCAATTGTCTGTCACAGGGGACACTGCAGAGCCTAGAGCAGTCATCTGTTATAAATTTGTTGCCTCCATCTGCGATTGAGGATAACCAGAATTATGAATTCTCAGAAAGCACTTTGGCTCGTGCTGAGAGAGCACTTAATCATTTTGATTTATTTCATGAGTATATGCGGCTACTACCCTCATTACCACCTCTTCGAGATGCAGCCACGGAGTCTAAACCACGGAAACTCTACCGAGGCTATAACCCGCTCCAAGTGATTCGCAACCGGAAAGTCAGATATCGTGAGAAATGCTCCATCAATGCAGCCGCAGAAGGATGGCATGACGTTGAAAGAGTTCACCAATGGATCAACGAGGTCGAGCAAAAATACAACCAAAGAGTGTACGACCAATTAAATTGCTTAAAGCTGCCACCATTCCAAGAAGGTCATCGTTACGTCTCTATTGGGGAACACGAAGATGTGGATATGATGCCTACCTCTCCGGGGTCAAGCTTGCGGCGAGTCAGCCGAACCAGCAGCATGAAGGCCCGCCGACCACGTATTGATTGGAAAATCTCGCCAGCAGAGCTTCTGGCCGATGCTGCCTGGCTGGAATGTAGTACCAACAAGACGAAGGTGGTTGACAAGGATGGCCGTAAACTATATCCTGACCCCTCAGAATTAGTGATCATGGACACAAGCGATGACTTCAGGGTTCATAAGCAGCAGCACCTTTCGGTTGAAGTGGGAGATCCTAGAGAGGCACATTCGTCACCGCGCACTTCTTCATCCGGTTCTCACCCTGCCTTGGCGCAAGAATTCAAGAGCGTGGGTCGTGGGCGGCACAGGCACAGATTTCGAAGTCATTCGCACAGCTTACGCAGCCGTAGTGCTTCTAGCAAACGAAAGGCGTCACGATGGGATCATGTCAAAGTACGTTCGGGCAGCGTCTCGAGTTCTTCAAGCTCAGATACGCGTCCTTCAGTCGATGAAAAGCATCGCATGTCTCGGGAGAACATCCGCGACCATGTACAAAGATTCGTCGATCATGCACACTCGGGATCTCGTACATCCCGCGCCAGATCACCGGCTGTTCGCAACGCTGACGTGGATCGGGGAAGGACTCCACAGCCAACGGAGCCGTTGTCGGTCAACACGAAGCAAGCTCGCAGGCACAGAAAAGGTTCCTTCTCGTCAGCAGGCAGCCTTGATGACCGGCACGATCCTGTTATGTCCTTGGAAGGTATGTATAGCACTGCACCCAACTCTCCCGCTCGCGTTGGCTACTTCCCGAGTATAGCAGTGAATCTGTCACCCCCATCAAGTCGGTCTCCCTCGCCCGCAAAGAAGGGTCTCCGTCATAAGATTGCTTCACGCCACGACCGCAGCAAGAGCAAACAAGCAGATCGAGAGCGAGAGCAAGAATTTGAACTGCCGGAACTAGAGGCTTTGCGTCAGCGAAATTTGAGGCCGTCTGCGTGGACAGAGGGTGTCTACAAACTCGACCCGAGTCCTCTTCCTGACGTTGTGTCGTCATCTTACAATGATGATCAAGGCACGCAGGACGGCAATCGGGTAGATGGGCATCGGTCCCGTAAAGGATCCCATCTGCCCGAATCAAAGCTACGAGGAATATTCAAGGGGCCAGGCCGGATAGCGGAGATCGTGGGCAATGAGGTCTCAAAGGTCGGAGACCTCATCCTGAAGAAAGACGCAGATCCTGAATCTCGGAAATCCTCGTCCGCTACCACTTTTGCATCGGATGATAGTGATTTTGATGATGAACCTAGGGGCGATAAGAAGTCTGGCTCCAAAGGCCTTCTAAGGCGCCTGCCAACATTCACAGATGAGCCTGGACGATTGACTCGCAGAAACTCCCAGAAGAACTCATCGCGAAGCTTTATTCCCTCTCTGCCGACCTTCACATCACCCCTGCGGCAAGATGACCCAAGCAAAGCAGCAGAGGTGACCGATTTTGGCAGTCCTGGCGAACGAGTTTCCCCTTCACGAAATCTTGATGCCCGTGATTCTCCTAAGAGGTTCTCGCTGCCACGCAGCAGAACGCTTGATTTCAACGCTTCTCTGCATACGGGACGGACAAATCGCCCCGAGATTAAAGACCCTTCCATCCCTTTCAGCTTAACGCGACCCCCTGTCACTGGGCTCGCCAACGCTCGAGCATCACCTGGGCTTTCACCGGAAGGAAGACGCTCAGGGCTTTCAGGTGCTAGTCGCACCTGGAGCATTTCTGGACGCAGTATCCACTCCATGCCCGACACCGGCGTTCCTGGAAAATCAGAAGTCGAGCGTACACGAGCTCTTCTATTGTCATCGGGGATCAAGGCCCGGGAGATCACTCGCCGAGCGCACACCCCCCGTGCACCAGTTCCTCACTGGCTTCAAAGCTCCATGGGCCCTGGTGCTTCTGTCCCACGAGTGACGCGGGCCGGTGAGTTCGATTTCGCTGCCCAATGCCTTATCCGGCGTTTCGAGCACACCCAACACTCGTTCCAACAATCCATGCATCATTTCTCAACCTCCACCTCGTCTCCTCTCCGATCCCAGCTGAAGAGCCTGGAAAATTCGGTCAATCATTCCCTGGCTCCTCGCGTCCGAACCGCGGCGAATGACGCCGAGGACCTGTGTGTCCAGCTCAACACCACTAGCACACTCGCTGTCAAGCAGCTGAGTGATGCGCTTGACAAAGGCCTTCGTAAGCGTCGCCGTCGATTGCGGTGGATTCGCCGCGCTGGGTTCATGGTTTTGGAATGGGCTCTTGTTGCTATGCTTTGGTGGGTGTGGCTGGTTGTCATGGCTTTCAAGGTTGTACGTGGTGTCTTCCGTGGTGCTTTCACTGGTATCCGATGGGTCTTGTGGCTTTGATTACAGGGAGCATGTGGAGATTTCTTCATTGTTCTTCCGTGCATTTTTGGGGGGGGCTTTTCGTTTTTTACGATATTGGTTTTAACCCCATCGCCCCTGTTGGCGTGCTATATTACCCCCCCCCCCAGTGACCTTGCTTATGCCCGCTGTCTTCTGTTCTTATCCACCCTGTATTATTTAATGGAGCGTTGCACCTCTTTCAAACTATTCCCACAACATTTTGTCTTTATCTTTTGTACATAATTCAGCTATCTCTTCTCCGTTCCAATACGTAGGCAATTCTGGTGCTGCAGGACTATGTGCTGTAGCACCGTCGCAGTACCAAATTTTGTAGCATAATCCCGCTAAGGATCAATCAATCAATCAAAGTTCAACTAACCTATTCCAGTCTAACTAGTTGCGTATGACTCTGTAGGCGCTTCTTCCTTCCAAAGCGACAACTCGAGTTCACAACGCCGATTCGAGATCATCTTTTTTAGATCCCGAAGAGAATATTGATACTGATCTTAAAGAGTGTGGAATCAGCCTATTCCTATAACCTATCTAAGAGATTCGCTCTGGACTGCGATCCTATAACATATTTCACCAGTGAGTGGGCCACCTTGTTACGCACTGCCAAACTGGTCACAGTTATGTTAGAAGCTTTCCTGATTATACTTGCCTGTGCTGATCCTCCAACGTCAACGATCTGCCTCTCAACCGAGCTGTTGCTGCGCACAGTCTTATTCCAGCCTAAGTCCTTTTGAGGGTATCGAGGAACGATGCCAGGTAGAGCGCCGAGTAGATG